GGGTGCATCAAAATACATTTTCTCATGACATTGATCTGTCTGGGTGAAAAAAGTGTTCGATTGCATGCTGTCACAACGTATGTAAAATATTTTCGCGATCATTGATCATTTACAGGTCCCACAACAGCTCTGAAAGAGACTTCGTCAGGCTCCTTTATTTCAGCGGCCCGGCCCGACTCGATCGCAATGCTATTTGAGGTTAAAGTCAATAATACCCTAGATATTTAAACTTATTGAAAGCAAGAAAGGTATTCTGTGTAAGACTTACAGCTACAGTTCGTCGTGCCCTCAAATCCGGGACATGGCTTGTGTTGTGTGTGTGTATGTGTGCATTCGCTGCGACGCGGCGCTGAGCGTTGCGGGGCCGGTTGGCCGCATGGTCATTGGTCGACCTTGTGTGGCCGGAGGCGGCGCTCCGGCCGGGTCGCGGTCACGTGACCCGCATTGACCTTGGACCAGCTCGAGTTTTGGCCGGCATTTGGCGTCCAGGGGCCGACGATAAAGGAGGTAATGTTTGGGCTAACAGATTTCTACAAGGGTTAACATTGACTGCAAGCTCATAATATTAGATGGATTAATCGAAAACAAATCCATCGTTTTCGATTAATTGTAGTTTCGACTCATATTGGACCTGCCCATCGTTTTCGATTAACTGTAGGTTGGACTTAATTGCACTTTTTTCGATTAATTTATGCAATAATTGAGCCTACGGTCAATTGTAACATTTTTATTGATAAGTAATCTTTTTTATCATGTACAGAGAAGTCGACGAGGTGATCACCGCGGCAGCCATCGGGACACTCCTCTGGTACCTGACTGGAGGGCTGCTCCCGCTGGCACTCTTCAGCACAAAGGTGCCAGAAGAAGAGCGGCGCTCCCTGGCGGATGCCATTTTGAACTGTAAGCCGGACGATGTGCCAGCAAGTGCTCAACAGCAGCGCTTCGGAACCGGCTTCGGCAAGCCTAGTTTCATGGCGCTCGCGCCGACCACCAGCCTGGCGGATCTCGCCAACCGGGACTGCTGGTTTGGCATGCACCAGCTGCACATCAACCCAGCCTTCCTCTCTCTTGCCGTGGAGGACTGGGAGTCCTGCGCAGCATATCAGGAGAGTCTGGTGAACGTGAGTGCGGTCAACGTAGTGAACGACTGCGCTGAGCGGGGCGTGAAACTCACGTCAGACTTTGTGACCGCAGCCGGAAGCGAGCGGCATCTTCAAAACGTGCTGCAGACGGTGGAGGAGGACCGGTTGAAGCAGCCTGATCAGAGGAACAGCAAGCGTAAGCTGAGCACTACAGAGTAGAGCAGCGAAGGGACGCAGGCAACGTGTCTCAGCGAGTGGCAAACTTCTATGCACCTGGTTATTACGAGCGAGCGAGCGCAGCGAGCGAAGTGAGTCTTTTCAATATAACGGAAAAATCTCAGTATGAGCGGCCCGGCCCGGCCTGTAACGCTTTTGAGAGGCTTATATCTCAGCAACCGCTGGACCGATTGGCCTGCGGTCTTCTTTGTTGGGTAGCCCCATCCCTTCTACCCCGTAATTGACTACTTTTGATACATTTCATTGACCGTCGTGGCACGTGCCACGTGAAAAGTCAAGGGTGTTCAAGCTGTTTTGCAAAAGTACCTAGTGATTTTGAGAGGCTCATATCTCAGCAGCCGCTTGGGCGATTGGCTTGCGGTAATTTTTGTAGGGTAGCAGCATCTCTTCTACCAAAAATAGGATACTCTCGATGCATGTGGGTCACCCCCAGTGCACGTGCAAAATACAACAATAAGAGGTGTCAAATTTGTTCCCATTTTAATAACTCGGTAATTACTGGGGCGATTTCGCTGAAACTTGGCATACAGGTAGGCACCCACCAGGCAATGCATTCCCATGTGTTGCGGTTAAGGTGCTACTGCACGTGCGCACGTGCAGGGGGCGCTTCCAGATCTCGAGAACGGCTGGGCCGATTGCGCTCAAATTTGGTACACGGTTGGGGACCTAGTAGGGTGCCGTGCAAAAGTCAGTTTGGACCCCGTTTGCACGTGCGCACGTGCAGAATGCCGCTTCCAGATCTCAGGAACGGCTGGGCCGATTGCATTCAAATTTGGCACACCGCTAGCGACCGGTTAGAAGGGTGCTATGCGCAAGCCTGTTGGAAGTACCCTCTCGCCCTTCCGCACGTGCAGGGCTCACTATCTCGCTCGCTCGTTCTTCGCCCAAAAGGCGTTTTACTGGTAGTGATGAGTGTGTGATTACTCGTAAAGCCACAATATACAGTTAACCAATGATTGATCGTCTCTGTGGGACCTGTAAACATCAATGAATTTTTACAAAACTGAACATATCTTGTCTTTACTCACATTCGAACAAAAATTTGACCCAGACAGATCAAATTATCAATTTTGAAAAATAACATTATAATTTGATGCACCCTAAGGGTCACTCTTAGAACAAATGAAGTGAGTGACTAATTCTAGTGTTTGTTAAGTACCTATTTATCTACTAAATAGAAGATAAAGAAAGAAAAGTGTCAAATAAGAACACGTTCCACATAAACTGTAAGAAAGTAGAAGTCATTTCGTCGTTTCTGTAGTTCCACTTAATCGAGTATTCCAAGTATTTCCTAATTGCTTATTCGATCGTTTCTTATTTCCCCACCCAGAACCATTTCGTGTGTCCGATGCTATCTGGATATCACTGATGATTATGTAGACTCGGCACATTTGGCCTTTTTTATTTTTAGCATTGCTTGAGACAGTGCTGTCACATGTGCACGGGTCCCTCTTTCATCTCCCTCAGATAAATATACATTTTCTGGGTTTATATATTATGCTAGATAATACACATGTTACAGCCTATAAACAATAATTCGTGCTTAGACATCAATTAGGACGGGTATATTATGTTTTCGCTAATATGCTCCGGAGGTGTATGTCAAGAGTATCGCAATTAACACTTGCCTATGATGCAATGCAAGAGTAATGGCCTATGGTAAGTTATCGTAATTGTGCAATCCCAAAATAAATAGCCTGCAACTTTAACACATCCCCTAAGTACGAGTAGGACGAAACATGCTTCCGATTTCCTAACACGGTTTAAATATGTATGTATCCAGTAATGGAAATAATGATACATACGCCTAATCTCGATAAAAGACATCAAACAAATTGTAATAATAAATGCAGCCTCTGGGATGTTTTCCAACGTCACGCCATTTCCATTATTCATACAGGGTGTTCCAAAAAAGTGAGTCCCCCAACTAAGATCGACTGTATCTCTGCATACGTGCATCTAGCAATTCCGCCTGCAAAAGAAGTGGGGTGCTAGGCGAATGATCACCGAGTTTCGGCATAAGAATTGAAGCCTGGCAAGTGTCAAGCGATTACTAAAAAGGTTGACACTACAGGGGAATATCTCGCAAGACCGGAAGCGGCCGTCCCACGTTTACCGCCGTCGTCGTGTTTCACCCAATCTCGCAGCACATTTTGTTCTGGTCGCTCTCGGTGTGATACGTATTCATTCAGAGCCACACTAGGTAGCCTATTAGAAGTTAGAACCGACATTGACCGTTCTTTCCAACAAGGGGTCTCTCATTATCGTAAGATATACGGTTTTGGAGATATGTGCAATATTAGTTAGGGGGCTCACTTTTTTGGAACACCCTGTATATGTGAACTGTCCAGTGTCTACATTCATGTATATACGTGTAACTAAGTTATCTCTAATAACCATTAACCCGCGCCCTGCTGGGGGGGGGGGGGGGTGTTTGAACACCCCCCTTGTGGTTTTTCGCGAATATCTCAAAAACGACGGCGCGGAGCACCGCCGTTTTTTGTACATATTATCATACATCAATTCTACACATGTTGTGAAAATTTCAGACCAAGGTCATTCAAGGTCAGGTCACCAGGTCACTTGAAGTGACCTCACCTCATAAAAAGTTTCAATGTCTGTCATAGCTACACAGAGTGACCAATCGCTTTGAACCTTTCAGCGATTGCTAAGAGCAATAGCATGTACAAAATGTATATCTCAGAATTTTGATACCGATGACCTAAGGTCAGGTCAATTTTGCGACCTCCCCATTATAAGTCAATGGGAGAAAATTGAAATGCGCCTCTTTTGGACGAAAGACATTATAAACACTCCCAAACACTGAATTACAAGTGGTTTAGATACACGGAACATGAAAATGGTGTCCGTGACCCCTGTTTATGCCCTGAGGTCATCTTAGGTCACGAATGGTATCTAACAGTTTTTCGCAAATAACTTTTGATAGAGGCATGCTAGAGCGATGGAAACGCCTTAGATGTGTTCAGCTCGACGATACGGATCGACTGATATGCAACATGACCCTTTCCGGTCAGGTCATGACCTTGACCTGAGGTCAAATTTTCAAGTTGACCTTTCAAGGTCAAGTTATAGTTCATTCGATGCGTCTTGACGAGAGGAACACGATGCCGGTAAAGGTAAGCTCGTAAAAGGCTTGGGTCAAAAGTTATTGCAGAAAAACTGTTTCCGAAAAAATCGGCTATTTTTGCAGTTTTTGCCCCCTGCAGGCAAAATCGTTGACGTTAGGTCAAATCTGAGAAAATTACTCAGAAAGGGCGTTAATAGGGCTATCGAATGCGCTTTTCCGCGGCGCTGTAGCTCTATTGGTTCCCGAGTTATGCGTTGGCTTCTTGGAAATTGTCGACATTCGACCTGGAAATCGGCGAAATTTTGCCTTCAATGACCTCTGGTGACCTGCCCTTTGACCTGACCAAAAAATTGACCGAAGTAATTTCCTCATTATTTTTTACGCTCTTTCGAACGCCGCCTTCCGCGTATCGCTACGTGGCCCAGGAGCCGAGTTAGAGGGGGGGGGGTGTTCAAACACCCCCCCCCCCCAGCAGGGCGTGGAAATCCAGGACCCCCAGCCGGGCGCGGGTTAAACAATGTAGTCTGCAATGTTGTTTCCTTCAACATCCCCATCACCATGAAGTATGAACTCATTTCCTTCTTCTTCATCAGATTCGGCAGAAAGGTGGCCATGCTGCTCTCATTCTTCACGGTGGGAGTGGTTGGCACCACGATGGCGTTTGTGCCCAGTTTCGCTCTCTACGCGCCCCTGCGCTTCCTCATTGGCGTGGGAGGCATGGGCATCTTCATGACCTGCTTCTTGCTGGGTAAGATGGTGTTCAGACTTCAGAGACGCGCCGGCTAGTGAAGCGCGGGACGAATTGTTGAAAATCGAAATTGTATTGATTGATCGTATTGAAATCAAAGTCGTGTTGATCAAGAATTTCCTATTCTTTCTTCAACAGGCAGGGGCGTCGCCATGGGTTTTTGAGTGTGTGTGGGGGGGGGGGGGACGAAGCTCGACGGATCCTGCAGGATTTTTTTTTTCTATGCTAGTACCCCGCAACCCTGTTTTCAGCCTTTTCTCTGGATTTGATGCACTTTATTTTCGATGTAGCCGGTTTTTATTATTTTTATTGCGCACTTCTTTTCATTGTGTTCATTCAGGCATAATTTCTAAGCCCAGGGCATCGTGGGACACAAATAATAAACGACACACTATGCTTTGATTTGATATAATGATAAGATTGCATCAACCTGAATTCAGAGCCACAGTGCGCCACGTATGGTGCGGCTGCGCCATAAGTTGTTCACTGTTTTCTGCTACAGGAATTACTGAGTTGCTGCCAAATGTAGTGAAAAAACTTGTTCGGTAAAGGATTACTTCTTTTTTCCGCAGAATGACGGGTAACTGAGAAAAAGCAGCTCGAAAATTTCGATTGACATTCAATTTGAGGAGGGGATAATCCCCCCACCCTCACTCCAGGGGGACGGTGTCCCCCCATCCCCCCCCCCTGTGGCGACGCCCATGTCAACAGGCATAGAGCCAATGTTGTATCTTGAAGTCTTGATTGGTGCACAGTCGAGCAAGATTTAACATCTCTATTTTCCTCAGCAAAAAAGAACTTGCCCATAAGGCGCGCTAGCGTTCAAGGATTGTTTCAAACGACGCGCTCACGCCTCACGTTGACCGAACGAAACATCCCCGGCTTTCGTGTAACCGCTAATGACGATTTTCTTCCTCCGACAGGTGTCGAGACCGTATCTAACGACGTGCGCACTCTTTGCGGCATGATCATCCACTTCTTCTTCCCGTTCGGCGAGGCGATGGTGGCCGTGTTCGCCATCTTCGTCAAGGACTGGCACAGCCTGCAGCTCATCATATCAGTACCGGCCTTCATCTTCATGTCGTATTACTTGTGAGTACGCAGTACGCAGTATTCAGTAAAGTGATAAAGCTCAGTAAAGTGCCGGTTTTCAGTAAAGTGTTTTCCCGCGAAAGCCTTTCGCGGCGACGTTAATGGAAGCTGCCAAAGTTTTACATTGGATGACAGGTAGCTAAACACTTCTCCCCAATTGGATGCCTCATTTTGAGGAGTCAGCAGCGATGGCAGCCGTAATCCACCCTGGCACCGCGTGACATTTCACGAACAGCCAGCTGCAACGCTTGTTTTTGCCTCGGACCAGGGGTAACAGCGTATCGACTCTGTGACGGCCAATTAAATGCATATCTACGTGAAAACATATCTTCAATATTTCAAAATGATAAACACGCTTCTCATCTTTTTCACTTTACTCTTCCTAGCTTTGTTCCCGAGTCGCCTAGGTGGCTTGCAGCGGAGGGAAAATTTGAGCAGGCGGAGAGAAACCTTCGCACAGCTGCCAGATTCAACGGAGTCCAGTTTCCAGATCATCTTTTGAAGAAGCAGTCGCTGGTAAGAAACGTGACAAATGTCCCACGCAGTCTAACTCGCAACGGTCATGGGGCGGATATTATTTGTCAATGTTGATTATCAATACGCACAATGCGCACTGTACATAACTAACTAAAGGCACGAGTGGGTAATGGGTATGCCTTATCCATTTGCAGGGTAGGTACCTACCTAATTTGCAGTTATAATTTGCATATACAGTTATAACTTATAATTGCATAATTTGCAGCAATTTGCAAGTAGGTATACGACAAAACTGCCGAGTTTCTCGAAGTTCACGTGCAACTTAATTAAACGATCTCTTTCAATCCGTCTGCCATGCGATGCAATTTTAAGGATGCTGCGCAATGCGCATCCGTTGCAACATACGGATGATTACTGATCACACCACTTGTTGGCTGCTTGAATTTGATATTCTTCACTACACATAGGTACCGACAGATAAATACCTACGCATCGCCAGACTTCGGTCCACAGACCAAAATTGAGTTACGAGTCCTCATGAACTTGTTTAGGCCGATTCCATTTGACGAACACTTGAGCTTTGCCATTGAGCATTGCGTTGTGCACAACAAAGACTCCTATGTGAACTACAGTGCGTCGGACTGTAAGTTTATTGAGACGATGAAGAAACGACGCAAGCCCGACGTCCTTGATCGCACAATAGCACATTGTGCCTTTTGATGTTTGAAACATGTTCGGGACTCGAGGAAAATGTCGTCGATAGCACGAACGGAGTTTCATCAGTCTGAACTAGCAACAGTTGTTGTTGATGTTGCAATCACTGGAGTTCTGATCATGGGGTGCTCATTTTGTCAGGATGACTACATGATCTGCCTAAAGTGGTCCGATTTACCTACATCAGCGAACTTGCGATCATATGACTTTAGTGAGAAGTGTCTTTGGCATAAGCAATGTCCTTGGGCCTTGAACCCTACCACTTCGTTCTAAAATGCCGTTTTCAAATGAAACTACCCGTGTTACAACCACTGAACTTAGTTGCCTGCATCAATAACCACCCGAAGCATGCTTATTACGCATCATCCTCCTTTTTCGTGTCTGTCCGCAGAAAACATCCGACTCAGAGACGCCTATTCTGCTGGACGATCCGCCCCAGATGTCCGTATTGGATCTGTTCAGAACGCCGGCCCTGCGATGGCGCACACTCATCATTCTCTATCAATGGTAATGTTGTATGTATGTATGCAATATGCATGTATGTATGCATGCATGTATCACATATCGACACCTTTTTTTAAACCCCACATTTGTTCTCCCGTGAAGTTCAGAAAAGTTGTTAAGAAACCTTCAAAAAAGGTACAGTCACTCGATTTTTCTCAAGTGTGTCTGTCTTGGCAGATCAAGCAATGCCAGAGCAAGCTTACGAACACACAAGTTTGATCAGGATCGGACGATTGGACACTTCTAAAAAGAGATCTTTCGTGCTTCCCGGAAATTCACCGGAGAACAGATGTGGGGTTTAAAAAAAGGTGTCGATATGTTTGTAAGCACATATGTATGTAATATGTATGCACATATTTATGTATGTGTTTAGGTATGCATATTGCATAGTATTCACGATGACGAGCGATTCACACATGGCATGGCATGGCTCTGGTTGACAATATTCACTGACGGTCTGACGGACATTCATTCTTTTCTAATCAGCGGTAAAAAGCGTTTGACTGGGACAATATTCGCTAAACGGACAACTTATCATAAGCTTTATCAGAAATTTAAAAGCGCTTCCTGTTAATGACCTGATGAGCGTAAATCAAAACCAGCCGGAAGCCGAAAGCTTTATAGCGAAGATGTGAGAGGGAGGTGCTCACTAATTTATTTATATGTGCTTCGTGGCACGTTGATGTGAACAATAAAACGTTGGGATGCCCCGTTCCTCTTGGCCTTTGAACCCAGTAAGGTGTTTAACATAACAAACCCAAAATCAAGGAGTGGGTATAATTGAGTTCCGGGACATTATTAGGTGCCAGCTTCACAGACCCGGTGGCTACCAGAATGTATAGGCAATGGTTTATCGGACAGTTTGCACCGCCATCTTAGATAAATATCACAGAGTGTAAGTCAATGATTGATTTTCAACAGCTTGTCACCAGACCACGGTAATTACAAATAAAGCTGTGAGATTAATAGTGCGAAGACATACGGCAAATGTTAATGGGTATAATGTTGAGGTTGTCTGCACTCCAGTGCAATCTGGCTTACATGTGGTGTATACCAGCTAGACGCGCTGGAAACTAGTTTATTGGTACTGGACACGATGATAAATTGTACCTAAATTATGAAGTAGGAACGTCAGAACCCAATCTTCACCGGATATGTTGGGTTTCATCATCAAATCAGCACTTATGAAAAACGACCTACACCAAAATCGACACTTTGTTGTAGCATGCCAATTGTCAATGCCAGCGTGTTTTGTGTAAGAATTCATAAACCCCAGAAACTCAAGTCCACACCTAACAAATCAAAATAAATCACGAATTGTATCCCGCTATCGCAGGTTCGTTACCGCCATGGTCTACTACGGCTTGGGCATGAACGCCACCCAGCTGGGTAGCAGCGTCTACGTCAACTTCATCCTGGTACAGCTGATCGAGATCCCAGCGGCCATCTCCTGTATATTCGTACTCGATCCGTGGGGCCGCAAGCTGAGCCTGGCGCTGTTCTTCGCGCTGAGCGGGATTGGAAGCATCGTCAGCGGGGTCTGCTCCAGCGGGAGGTCCGGTGAGTAGGAGTGTTGAGTGAGTGAGGAATGTCGAGTGAGTGAGGAGTGTCTGGTGAGTTTGGAATGTCGAGTGAGTGGCGAATGTCGAATGACTGGGGGATGTCGAGTGAATGGGGAATGTCGAGTGACTTTGAAATGTCAAGTGAGTTAAGAATGTTGAGTGAGTGGGGAAGGTCGGGTCCGAGTGAGGGTTCGAGTGAGTGAGGAGTGTCCGAGGAGTGGGATATCCCGTTCCCCTTGCCAGTTGCCCCATGTTCATAAAAGATCCGGTGAGGGGAGGTATGGCATGAAGGGACCGTCGGAGCAGGTTCGGTAAGATAGGTCCAGGGAGACATACGGCTCCAGTGAGCTGTGAGTGAGGCAGACGAAGGCCAGATGAGGGAAGCAGGTCCAGTGAGCGATCTAGATCACATGAGTCAGGAATGTCGTATAAGTGAAGTATGTCCGTGATAAAACTCGATGAGTGGGGAAGCTCCAGAGAGGCAGGCCAGGTGGGAGTCCGGTGAGGCAGGTTCAATGAGGCAGGTCCGGTAAGGCATCAGACAGGTCCGGTGAGGCAGGTCCGGAATTCGTGAAGGTCTGGTGAGGCAGGTCCGGTACGAGGCGTTTAATGGTAAGTGCGTGCCTCTTGTCGCATCCCTTCACTTCAAACATTCATCCCACATTGTCCATGCCTTCGAGAGCTCGTTTCCTGTAAGTCGTGTCGCCCAAGTTACAATATCCTAGTCGAGCTCTCAGGTATACTGATATGGGAACGCTTCAAATGCTGATTCAGAGCAGATCAGCGAAAACGGAACAGCCAACAGCTCCAACCGGTAAAATCCGGTTATAACCGTTCAGGCTCGATCTCAATGGGTCGGTTTGGACCCGTGTAGGAAGCTTTTAAAGTTCCTTTGGTTTGTAGCGATATACATGCATTTATCCAAGAATGAGTAGTGACAGTTTTGGTCTAGGATTTTATGCTGCTAATGAGCTCCGACTACTGAAATGTCCTACGTTTGTATTTCGTAGCGCGAAAGGTCAAACAACTTCCCCGAATCATCACAAGTGAAGGGAACATGCACTAACAATATATAAAACATCTTCTTTCTTCTTCCAGCCGCTATGGAGACAATCACAGTCGCAATGGCCGTGCTCGGCAAATACGGCTCATCGGCGACATTCGCCATTGTCTTCGTCTACGGTGCCGAGTTGTTCCCTACTGATCTGAGGAACAGCGGCATCGGGATGTCCTCAGCGGCCGGCAGGGTCGGCTCCATCATTGCACCCTTCATCATTAGCCTGGTATGGATGCTGGGGGCGTTTTTGTTGGTGAAAGTGACGTCATGTAAGGTCATTGTTCCGGCATTGTGTCCGTGAGGATAGAAGACCTCTGACGTTCTTGGTTCAAGTGGACTACGATCCCAGTTAGTAGTAACTACCACCTAGAATAATTTCATTGAGTTGCTGAACTTAACAATACCTCTACGGCTCTACCTCAGAAGGGTACCTCTAACGATACAGTACGTCAGTACAGTACCTCTAACGATATTCCTTGTCATGCACTTCGCCATGCTTTCAGTGCCCAGCAAAGCTCTGTAATGTTTCAAAGAACGCACAATGAAAGCAAAACTTAACTGCTGACTCTATGAATCTGTCCGACAGGGAGGCTCAAGCCAGGTGCTCCCGATGACCATATTCGGCGTGCTCTCGCTCATCGGAGCCTTCATCACCGTGTTCCTACCGGAGACCTATGGAGAGAACCTTCCAGACACCATTGAAGAAACGGAGAGCTTCGGAAAGTGAGTGGCTGCCAGAAACGATCGACGGTGTGCAATGATGTGGGTGTCTAGTGCCATCTGGTAACGCCAGAGGAACTATTAGTACGAAGGACACAGGTGGCGGTGCCATCGCTGTCAGCCAGCCGAGAGGCATTTGGCGGAGCTAGGGCTCATATGCATCGCTTACCTACGGGTCGGGTTCGAGGATGCATCATAAATGCGAAACAAAATAAGACATCAGTGAAAATCCAAATATGTCGGTTCCCAATGCCTCATAAAACCAAAACAAATGCTTACTTTCATCATAATGAAGTCGTCGCCATTCACGAGCCCGGTGCCCCAACAGATTTGCACAAGACCTGGGAATGCGACATAGTCAGACTGTCCCAGCTGCGATGCTGTTGAGTGTTGAGCATTGAGCTGCCGCTACAGCATATCACGTTTCCCCCGACAAGTTTCCACCCACCGCTGACCGTAACTAACACGCTGTGTGCCTTCCACAGAGACCAGTCACTCTGCTTCATTCCGTGCCTGAATCGACGCCGAGCCCGCAAGGTAGAGCCCTCGCCGCGGTCAGCAAGTCTGACATGAAGAATCGACTCTCCGCAGTTCACTGTCAGCAGTTGATGAACCGGTAGTGGCGATTTGATTGGTTGGAAGTTTCTCTAAGGATTGTCATGGAGACTGAAGGCATGTCTGTGTGATTTGTAAATGTCTGAACGATACTCTATTGTGACTTGTATGGCCTGCACTGCAGACGTGCATAATGCAAATGTCTACTTGCAATGTAAGGCCACATAGTGGTCGGTTGCGTCAAGATGAGGCATTTTGAGTGCAGGAATTGAAAGTTGGCGAAACTTTGTAGGCTTTTCTACCACCTAGTGCCTTATTACACTGGCTTGAGCACTACAATAGGCGTGGTGTTATCGTAACGTCTTCTTATGTAATTCGCTTTATCCGTGATCAATGCTCGCTCCTACCGACGGCAAGTGCTAACTGAATGGTGCTGCTCAGTGGGCATTCGCATTGTATTTGGACAAATGGAAATTCGGAAAAGGTTTCTTTCGCTGCCCTGTATGCTATAAGGGCTTCTTTGTGAACTGACTGAGCCTAACTGAGGCATGCTGAATGATGTCAATTGGAAACGCGCTGTGAAGTATTGCCATCGTGGGGTGGGATAGGTGTTGCTAAGAAAGTCGTATAGCCATCTTAGATACTGTCTACTCAAACTCTGTTCCCCATTTTGTCATGGGGGATGCCTCGGGCGTAAATGACCTGGTGGTTGACGCGTCCGCAGCTCTTAGGTGACTAACATGGGTGATAGTTGTAGCCTCCCAGCAGGTTGTTATCTTATCCAATTGCTTGATGGTTTCCTGCACTGTTGAATGAGCGCTACAAATTGGGTCTAACACAAGGACCGTGTTCAGCGGTATATCCTTTACATGATGGAAATATGCCTGCATGAATGGATTATGTAGACTAACCACTTCACGAAGTAATCATGACTTTAACAATGACTTGAAGTGTGAATCTGAAACCACTTCAACTGACATAATCCATGACTTACAAGTGTGGACTCAAGAGCTCACGTCAATCGTTCGATGGTTCAACTAACAATAAGCTTGTGTAACTGTAGTGTGTAGCATAGTCATGTTTAATCGAACTTAGAAGCTCGTTATGAATGGCCCAAACAACAATTATCCTGTGCAGCATAACACTGTTCATAGACAAATACCAAACATATTCGTAGGCGACAACCAAACACCTTAATTACTCAGTGCAAAGGCCACTAGAGTCAATAACATTTAGCTGCTGGCGCTGCCTGTTACCCACTACCCTAGTCACCTAGCAAAACAAGCTGTTTCATTGAGCCTCGAGAAACATCACTTTGGGAGAATTAAGGGCCTGCTGTTTTGAAATGATAGGCCATTGTCACGCAGCAATCATCAGTGCGGCGGTCTTGTTGAAAAGGCACCTTGTTTTCGCTCAGTGAATCATTTTTATCTACAAGTGACTTGAGTGCTGTGGCATTAAAGGGACCCTCCCACCTTCAAAAAAGTTAATGAATTGGCATGAAAGTGATGTCCCTTGGTTCAGAAAGAGCGAAAACAAATATCTACCAAATTTCACCGAAAAATATTCACTGGTTTTCAAGATATTAGGCTTTTACTTTTGTTTACTTTTTGGGATCTCCCCTATTACTAGCGACTTTATTTGGAAGCAATAATTTGGCAGCCCTAAAGTGCGGCAGACGTTGCGCGCAAAGCAGCGTATACCACCACGTGTTAACGATGGTTTTAGTCTAAGATTTAAAAATCGTTAGATCTCCGCTGACGTCACAAATTCTAAGGGGGCATTCCAATGCATTAGCCCCTTAGAATCCGAAAACTGCAAGTTTGAAATTCCATATCTTCGAATTAAAGCATTTTTCGATGTTGTGAGTGTCCAAACCGGTATTTGCAGGTCATGGCCACCAATTTGGCTATCTCAACTCAAAACTAATGTTAAGGTGGGAGGGTCCCTTTAACTGTCGGTTGGGATGTCAAAGCATGACTGATGAAACTTGAAAATAGTAACTTGTATTCCCACTTGTCCTGAATATCGGCGATGCACGAATCATGTTTTGTAACGACGTTGGAACCAACTTTGTACGGGTAGATATGCAGACGATATACCGTTTCTATATTGCAATGTTGTTTCGTATGACGGGCAAGCATGGCATGGGAATAAAATACAGCGATTTTCAAATGCACCTTGTTTCGCTGGCACATCGGGAACGCCTCAATTGGTTGAAAAAAACTTCGTGTCGGAAAATAACCTGGTGTGCTGTAAAACCATGTAACTAACTGTAAAACTAGTATGCTGCTAAACCCTACAAGAGAAAGACAAGTTGCGAGTAAGCCTTTCCCCTCGCACAACTCTCCCTCCCCAACAGTAACCCTAAACAGCAGGATGACAGAGAAGAGGGTGTATTATCCAGCTAGGAGCAGCACATCACAAATTGGACCATACGGCAGATCAGTGGAGCTCACAATTCGGACTACAATGGTGACGGGCGGACCCAGCCTGCCCAGCGGCGATAAATCGCATATTTCTGCAAAACTGATCCCATAATGAAAAAAAGCGTAACAAATCATTGTGGCTTACTACCGAGAAAATAGGGGATCGATGGCCCCGTTTTTCGAGAAAAAAAAACATTTCGTCAAATGTAGTCAAGTGTCGCCTCAACGTGGATAATAAATTACGTCAAATGCGAATTAGAGGAATAACAGGGCGCCACTTAGTACGCATGACATACCCAATGGAGTCAACTTTCGATCCCGCAGGCAACACATAAGACAAAAGCGAGAGAGAAATGACATCCATCAAATAGTTACAAATTTGGTATTATGACAAATAACAGCAAAAGTTTTGATATCACTTGTTGGACTAGTTTGAGGCCTTTCATTGAAATATCGCAACTTCAATCACTAGCAACGCATTACACGTCCGAAATCAAATGCACAGAATTGCTTGTTTACACTGCAACACCAATGCCCCCCCCCCCCCCCAAGAAACATGGGATAGAAGTTTCTACGAATTCGGGTGGCCACGCCTGTGCAAGATTCTTTTGTCCGACAATGCGAGGCCACGGCGAACCATCCAGACATCGAAGTTCGCCACTACATCAAAAATCATAAACCTGTGGCCGTGCGAGCGCTTTGGTTGCGCGTCAACACTGGCGTCTAGCACTAGGGAGGGCCCTAGGCGACTGTGCATGATGGCGGTGGGTGTCAAGGGGGTGCGGGGATGGCGGGGCCAGTCCAAAAGATGGATTGGGCGAGCGCGGGGAAAATTGTCTCCATCAATCGAAGAAGCAGTGGTCTCATATTACTCTGGCTTTCCATCAACAAGAGTGATATTCATGATGAAACTCCCACAAGGACGAATTTCAATGAGGCTATCACCAAGCAGACTTCATGCATCACCCTCTTTCACTAACCTTCACGAATCTCGCACCCACTACCGTCCTAACCCAGACCCCACCAACGCCCACAACCACCAGACACCTACGCACCTGCGCCAATCCTCGTGACCTCTAGGCGTAGATCACGCGCATGGTATTGGTGAAGCCCGACCCCGACTGCCATCCAGTGATGATGACGACCGGGTCTCCAGTGTTGATGAAGCGCTGTCCCTTGCCGTAGCCGATGGCAGACTGGACGCGAGCCTCGACGTCCTGGAGCCAGTCAGGCACACGCTCCGGGGTGTGGATCAGCGGGAAGATACCGCGGTACAGGTGGCACTGGCGGGCCACCTGGGGGAAACGCGTCACCGCCACGATCGGGCAGCGCGGGCGGTACCTGCCGGGCGAGAGGGAGGGAGGGTGTTAGCGGAACTTGTAGTTTAATATGGTTTGGATACGTTTTTCGAACGTCGATACAAAGCAAACTTTGTACGTGAAATACAAATAAGACAAGGTCAAATTTAAATGAGGTTGTTAGATCTTAATAAAATCATTGATCTGACGAAACATTCAATAGATTGACGCAATTGTTAACCTGACTGAACTGGACAAAATTGAATATGCATCAGCCAATGCAAAGTTATTCAACATCCACACATAACTGAGTAAGTTACACTAAATCCTGCCAGTGAAGACGAGTGTAGAAGAAGTGAGTGAAGGCGACTGAACAAGAGATAACACCTACAAACGAAAGAACAACCACTCACTGGGAGTGAAGGTCCACCCTGATCCCCAGAGCCCGCCTTGTTTATGGAGCCATTCTCCCATACTCACTTTGAGAGCAGGTGAGCCGTCTTTCCGGACGTGGTCAGCACAATGATGGCAGCCGCGTGTAGCTTAATGGCCGCCCCGACGGCCGCTAGGGACACGGAGTGCGTGTGGTCCGCCTTGCCCACCAGCCTCGCCTGGTCGTCGTAGAAGCTCTGGTGCCAGACAGCGGCCTCCGCCTCCCGGCAGACGCGATCCATCATGGAGACACACTGCATCGGGTAGTCGCCCTTGGCTGTCTCACCGCTGAGCATGACACAGTCAGAGCCGTCCAGAACTGCGTTGGCGACGTCAGAAACCTCAGCGCGGGTCGGGCGAGGTTTCTTCACCATGGACTCCAGCATCTGGGTGGCGCAGATGACCGGCTTGCCGGCCATGTTGCAGCGAGAGATGAGAGCCTTCTGGGCGACGAACACCTTCTCGGCGGGGATCTCGATACCCATGTCACCACGGGCAACCATGACACCGTCGGACTCGGCGATGATCTCGTCCATGTTGACGATGCCCTGGTGGTTCTCGATCTTTGAGATGATGAGGATCTTCTTTCCCTTTTCGCCAAGGACCTTTCGGATCTCACGCACACCGGCGGCGTCGCGGATGAAGGAAGCAAAGACCATATCGACGCCCTGCTCGACTCCGAGGAGCAGATCACCACGGTCCTTCTCAGAGACGGCCGGCAGGTCGACCGGCGTACCGGGCAGGTTGACGCCCTTCTTGGAGCCCAGCATGCCGCCGTTCTCGATCTCGCACATGACGAAGTCAGGTCCGATGTCACGCGCAATCAGAGAGATGAGGCCGTCGTCGACATACACCCTGCTGCCCAGCTTCAGCACTTTCGTAATGTTGACGTAGTCAACAAACAGCACCTCCTTGCTGCACTTCTCATAGAATGACTGGTCAGTGGTCAGCTTGATCTTCTCACCAGTCACGAGCTCCACCTCAGCCGAGGCGCCTCCCTCCAGCAGACCCGTGCGGATCTCGGGTCCCTTGGTATCCAGAGCAATGCCGACGACCGCAGGGCGGCCCGTCTTCTGGCTGAGGACTTCGGCAGCCTTCCGCACGTTGCCCATCGTCTCGGCATGGTATTCGTGCGTGCCATGGGAGAAGTTCATACGAGCGATGTTCATGCCAGTCTCCATCAGCTCGACCAGCTTCTCGACGGAGCGGGTGACGGGTCCGATGGTGCAGACGATGCCAGTCTTGCGGATGCTCTGCGGCGCCAGGTCCACATCGAGAGAGGCCGTGTGCTCCAGGAGCGTGTTGGCCGACTCGACGGGCTTGATGTTAGACATGGTGGCAACCGATATTCAGTCTGCAACACAGTGCAAAGTTTAGGAAATAGTCAAATGTCCATCTCCACCCTGCAGGGTGATATTGGGTGTGATATACCAGAAGTCCTCAGCAAAACTAGGCCCCCGTTTGTACTTGTTGGAAAAAATAATATAATAATGATATCCTTACCACTTGCATGCTTTGCATCCACATTGTAAATGCATTGTAAGCATGGCCCATATGGCCACATCCCAAAGATGCTGGCATCCAACAGATATTGCAGTAGACACAGAAGTTGCAAAACAAAAACATAAAAACATTTAAAGTGGGTTATACACTAGAACACTGCATCCTAACTTACACCTCATTATCTTCATACTTTGGGGGACAAATAAGATAAACATGTAAAATCAAACCAGTTGTCAAAGCTTATACCTTTAACCTCATTGTTTCTTATGGCTACAGTTCAAAAAATAAATGCAACCACTGAGCAGCAAGTGTAGAAAATTGCATAACACAATAAGAATTTGGAAGGCACAGGGAGATATGACATATCTGGTATCCTAGATTTTCTTCCTATCCTATCTGGTATATAAGAAGAAAAACAGCATGTTTGCCATCTTAAACTGCTAACTTGAATTAAAGACAGCATGTTATCATAGGTAAATGTAGGTACATATTCCTATTAGGCTGTCTCTATGCCCAGCTTTTATCACCTTAACCTAAGATACTTATGATTAGCTCCATAAGCACAGAATATCTAAGCTGCTGCTTCCAATTTGAATGGTTAAGTACAACACCAAATTTAGGCACTACTTCCAAAACAGTCAGGCATGCAGTGCAGAAGACCAACAGCTGTGTCATCAAACCCGATCTGTCTCATTTCCCTTCAATGACACCACTATGATGAAAAAATCAGCAGTGTAAGAAAACATCTACACCTTCATTTAAAGGTCATTTTTCATAATTCAGCAAACAAATATCAATCATCAGATTTACCACAAGGAGGAAAAGATTTATGGACATCTAGCGTAGATTGAAATTGAAATTGTTTTGTTTTAAAAGGGATAAAAACGGGCAATTCCCTAAATCACATTTAGGTGGCAATAGGCTATCAACAAAAACAAATCAGCTTAACCCTCGCCCGCACATGGGGGGGGGGTGGTTGCCCCCCCCCCCAGGCAGTCTTTCTGCTCTGCACTCAACATTTTTAGAGCTAGAAGGCTGATTTTTCGTATAGCTGCTCGTCTATCCTTTCTTGATGTCCACTGAAAATTTCAAGTTTCTGTGATTTTTGGTTTCGGAGATATGACCTCGTTTTTCAGGTCATGTCATGACCCAAATGGCCAATTCTCAACGTCTTGCGTTTGCCATGGGCCTTGTGAGCTTTTGACACCCTTATTTCGGCCTTTTTTGCCAGTCTTACCTCCCACCTATCATGGAACATGTTGTTCGACGATGTACAGGGGTCAAGGTCAGGGTCAAGGTCAACCTAGGTCATCTAAGATAATTGCGTTTTAGGCAAGCTGAATTTACTTTTTGTGAAGTTTTTTGACTGCATTTTTGGTAAAAGCTTCTCAGATCATGATTTCATGTGATATGGACCCAAAAACAATCGGTGCACACATCAGTATACACACAGACACACACAGACATACAAACACATATAATTGACCTTGACCTAACTTGACCTGAAATGACCTCAGCAGCAAAATTCTGGTCGGATAGTGTGACAAAGAGGTTCTAGCTGGCTTGGCACCAGAAAACAGCATCGTCATCGGTATTTGATAAGCAGCGCACTTGATATCCAACGGTGACCCAAAACAGCAACATTTTTTAGTTTGACCTGACCTGGAAGGTCAATGACTGACCTGAGAAGGTAAAACTGGGTATCATTGGATTCGTCTCTTCCCAAAGAATCTTTTTGGTCTTTACTGCTAAGCTCTATCTCCAACAGGAACGAAATGGCGCGGGGGGGTGGCAACCACCCCCCCCCCCCCCATGTGCGTTCTAGGATGGGAAAATGGCATGTGCTGGCGAGGGTTAAAGGGACCCTCCCACCTGTCCTGAACATTAGTTTTGAGTTGAGATAGCCAAGTTTGCGGCCAGGCTCAGAAACCACCATTTATCCTGGTCACAACCCCGGCAGCTTTATGGTGTTCAAGAAATTTCTTCCCTTTACTTGCAGGGTGGGACCAGCGTGGTCCCTATCTCTTAACCATTACGGGAATCTGATGATGTCATCAGGCTTTCGAACGTCCGTTAAATGTTTGACTCAAACGTTTTGTAGCACGCGGTGGTATATCCTGCTTTGCGCGCAACAAATGCCCCACTTTCAAATAAAGTCGCTAGGAACAGCGGAGATCCCAAAAAGTAAACAAAAGTAAAAGTCTAATATCTTGAGAACCGGTGAATATTTTTCGATGAAATTTGGTAGATATTCGTTTTTCTCTTTCTGAACCGAGGGACATCACTTTCATGCCAATTCATCAACTTTTTTGAAGGTGGGAGGGTCCCTTTAAAAAAGCAATTACTGTGCACAGCAACCAAGCACACATAGAAACTTGCGTGGGAATATACTTTTACGAGAACTCCTTTCCGACATACAAAAACAAGAAAATCCTCCAGTTAGATTTCCAAAGAGGGATGTTTGGGGCCCTTAAAAACGAATCTGACAGTCATTATGAGAATAATCCAATTGTAACAGGAGCCTTTCATTACTTGTTGAGTACCTTCAAATTCAATCTCTGCTCTCGGTGCCTCTTCTCACAAAGAAGGTACCAAAAGCAAGCCCAAAGATAATATTCAATCAACAAAATAAAATGTCCTTAGCTCAAACAATAATACAATATTGATCTAAGAAAGATAAAACATACCTACCTACCTGTTTGTAAGACATAGAAGCATTGCGTCTATTCACAAGCATCATTATTACCTAGGCCAAAAAGGAATCTGGACCAATGGCCATCTTAATAATCTTTAAACAGTACAACTCAGTGACCTATCACAATATGAATAATAAATTATGCAAGTTCTACTCACCAAAAGAAGATGTTTGGAGTGAGGTCAACTGTCACCAACGGGGACGCGAGCCAAAAGGACGGATTGCGGAAAAGTACCACTCGACAACACGACCGGTTCACGTGAAGCGAAACAGCTGATGGTACATCATAGCCAAGGGATCGTCTACCGGAAACTGACGTTCAAACGTTTTGAGTAGAATGTATACTGTTACCACTCGGAGCACGCCCAGTGAGCTGTTTATCTTTCGTCGCGCCTACTCTTCTGAGTAGACTTATTTGAGGGCGACTGGTGACCGTGAAGACAAATGCCGCCGCGTGGGGGTCACCTTCAAAACCACCGAAACGACGAATAGGGATGCGCAAAGGAACTCCTGTTTCTTGAGCCACAGGGGCAGGATTGAATGAGGTATCTCCCGTCCCCTTGACCTCCAATACGAGATACCAATACCAAATCACAAATTTAGGTGGCCGGCGGCCTGCCCGCACCCATACTGCCAAGGTCATCAATCATCAAATATGTGTATATAGGGCCTTGATCTGTAGGCATCGAAGGCTCGCGCTTACCTGTTAACGCTTCCGTGACTTTCTACTTCCGGTTATTCAGATCATGAAAGAGGCAATCATCGGCAGATCTTTCAATTTCGACTTGCGATTCAGCGAAGTCGCGCTAAAATAAGTCTTCCCCGTCTTGGTGAGGTCTACCGGTGGCGGTGCTTATTTCGCACTTATCTTTATAGCAAGTTTTGATACCTTGGGTCAACATTTTGTAATATCCTTCTTATGCTGTTATTTCAATTTACAAACGTACACCTCATTCAAAGAAATTCTCATGAGCAGAAATTTTCGCGCGATCACGAGGCTTGCGAATGCGAAGCAGTAAGCTCCTGCCATCTGGCGAAACTTTTCGAACTACTGCTTATTTTGGTTTCCGTCAGGGCCAGTTTCGTACACTGTTGCTGAGTTGCTGCTCGAGACTTGGACGGCCATCGGTGGGTACCCGGTGATTGTTTTTAGCGCGGAAGTGCGACACTACGAGCTTCCGGCAAAATGGAGTGAACAAGCACCTTCGGTTCTTTTTGCAGTCTCAAATACAGCCAGGTATGTCAGTTCGGCCGTCGGCGGCAGCGCCCTCTCTACCGAGCGTCCGTTGACACGTAGTGCCTTTGCTTGCTTGTTTATCTTGGCTATCAATCAGCATGCTCGTGATTCCCGTTATCATGTCGTGCCTCGTGATTGTGGTAGCCATCGGAAGTGTTGAAGATTGGTGCAGAAACGAACGAGATTTTTGTGCCACCCTGCCTCTAATCCCGCCGTAAGTATGTAAAGCTCGCATCTCTAGACTCTCGAGGACCGGTATTTGCGCTATCAGCTGACTAGGGGGAGGGTGCGGGGAAGGCGTCAGGTCGGCAGGGTAGGGGGGCGGGGCCCGGGGCCGGCTAGCGCCGTCTGGCTTCATACTAGCAAGTCTGTGGCTCGTAGTCGTGTCTGTCTGATAGCATTCAAGCCCGAAATGGCTGGTTTGTATGACATACTCGCAAATTGCAATGGTGGAATAAACTTTCTTTTCTATGTAATTGTTACAATATATTAGTGCCCGATGCCCGATAAGGAGGCATGAGGGTGCAACGACGTATTACCGACGATTCCTCTGTTTTGATTTCATTAGAAGGCACTAGACAATCGGCCTATTTCAGGGACCTTCCCCAATCGCGTGCCTGGGTGCGCCTCTGGACTCCGCACGACCGCACCACCCCTGTTTATCACGGTTCGCGAGGCCACCTGTGCATATACGACGTTGATGCGGGTACCAGCGGGTGCCAGGAGCGGGCTCCCATGCCCCAGCACTGAGGGTCAGGACTGTCAGGACACTGGGTCAGGTATGGCTCCATAGTCGATGGGTTTTCGATGACTCTGACTCCGACTCTGGTCTCCAAAAACCGACTCCAACTCCGGACATAAATGTCGATTCTGACTGACTCCGATTTCGACTCCGCAGCCCTGCAAGGTCTTCGGAGTCGATGGATTTTCAGTGACTCCGACTCCAACTCCGGTTCCGGTTTCTAAAAGCGATTGACTCCGACTCCGGACAGAAATGCTGACTCCGATCGATTCCGACTCTGACTCCGACTCTCATGCCAGCACTGCGGGTCAGTGGTCACATAGCATAGGAGACTGAAGCTGTGACTGACCGGTGAATTTGTAAACAGCCAACGCGGCAGCAACAAGACGGCAGTGATATCGCATCGGCCTGACCTTATAGACGTGAGACTAAATGAAATAAACATTTAGTGCAGCGAGGAGCCACTCGGGCACTTTCTTGGCTGCACTACCCCTTCAGCTCCTACTGACCTTGCAGCAATGGCAGCGGTTCCCGTGGTGGCCAATGTGAAGAGAAGCAAGCGGCCAGAAGCGCCACGCCAAAGGATTAAAGTTTGCCGACGCCCGTGTTGTCACCTGGGGCTAAGTCAACTTTTTAAGCATTGTGTTAAAGCATTGGGAAAGCAAGTGGACCCAGTATTACGGTGAAGTGAATTGGCCCTTGACTCATCAAATGGTGTGGTCTGCAACCCACTCATCCTATTACAGAGCCCTACACTACAAAATAATCACATTTACAGCTGTCTCAAACAAGCTCCTTTACAAAATGGGTATAACGGAAACAAACTTATGCGAAAGGTGTAGAGAAGCTCCAGAAACTTTGAGACACAATTATTGGATGTGTGAATCTGTTACAAACTTTTGGAGGCAAATCGAGAACTGGATGAATCTTCAGTTATACGTGAACACCCAAGGGTGAAACTTAATGAACAAAACGTAATGCTGGGACTGAAGGATTCTGGCCAACTTTGGAACCATGCAATCATCGTCGGCAAATATGTAATTCAGCGTGGGAAAATTATAAACATTACCTATCGCATTTTATCGCCAGAATGCACGCAGATTTCAGAACAGAGCGATTGGCAGCCTCAATGGTCGGTACCTTTACAAAATTCGAGAAGAAATGGGGACCGGGGACCATTGGTCCGGTTCTTCGGACAGGGCCACGGCAGTAGCGTTTGAGTGACGTAAACCTTAGAGGCGACTTGTTAGGCACTGAAAGTGAGTTTGTGCACAGGCTTGATGCGTGATAACTGTCTGAATTGAATAGTGTTACTGTATGGATCGTGCTTCGTGCTGTGGTGTTATCGTGAATAAAAATCAGTCATATGAAAAAGTCAACTTTTTAAGTGCCCTATGACAGCATAACGTTGGGTGTTTTGAGTGCTTTTGATGTACGCTTATGTTTTTTATGTACGTCTTATGTTTTTTTATGTTTTTTATCTCGTAGATATTTTATTTACCCTTGTCTCTTCCCTGCAGGCGGCACAACTCCCTTGATTTCCACCGTCTGAAGTGTCCTTTCTATTTCTGCCAGGAGCGGGATCCGGTATCCAGGATGAGTCACAACCCGTACGGACCCGGGGGTGGATACCAGCAGTATCCGGCCCCCGGTCAGTCCGGGTATCCGGGAGCCCCGCCGAATACGGTACGTGTGTCATACGGGATCCCGGGGGAACTGAGGATTCATGGTTAAACGTGATGACGGTGTGTGATGGTTGACCAGGTGATACGAGGATCTTGCGTGATCGGCCGAGAGTTAAGCCGCGTTCCCACTACGACCGTTCAACATCGTAAAGTAAAATAACGGGAGAAAACTGGCAAGATCGGCAAAATCACAGCATGCATTTTTACGATCTCTGCCGGTGGTGGTGGGAACCGGGTATTTGACACGTGTTTTCGGGTGGAGGCATTTGTAAGGTTTTGAAAGTTTGCTCCCCATGTTGGTCGGTTGGTGAGGTCGCCAAAAAGTTGAACAGTGTTGAACTTTTTGAACGTTCTTGAAGGTTTGTGCAGATATTAAATGACACTAATAAGCATTTTTAGGCAGTGCATAGAGCAGGAAGCCCTTTTTGGGAAGTTTCTTGATATTCAAAGTGAGAAGACAAGCAGCAAGGCATGAAAGGTGGTGCATTTTTGCGGATAAAAGCTACATAGCTCTAATTATATACATAGATGTAGTCGAGCGCTAAGTGGCGATGAATAACGCGTTAGGCGGCACGGGCGGACATCGATAGCAGCGCCTCTATCGGTCACTAGGGAAAGCTTGGCTGTAGGCGACGAAATACCACGGACGTATAATTAAACTGGACCCGCAACCACCTCCATTCAGGTGAAGCCGACAAGGCGCCATTTTACGTTGCCAAAAACCCGTGCTCTGAAAGGTCATCGAACCATTACAATTGGAATTGCGTCTAAACGGATGATCGGATCGAGATGCTGGTGGTACCGTTCGATGGGTAATGCTTTGAGGCAGGTGATGATGCATGTCACAGGTCATTCGGTGTCAAGTGGCGCGTGCCACGTGCCGACAAAGTCGGGAAGGGCAAAAACCTTTAAGCGACGCTCCAAATTAAACGGTGCGCGGCACAGGTGCCAAATTCACAGGTCACATGTCCCGGTGTTTGACCATTAACATATGGTATGCTCGGCAGCAGGGGGTGCGGAATGCACGCGCCAGGGGCGAAAAACATGTTTTGAGGATGCATCCTCCGATTCCGGAAAACCTTGACCCAGGCACACCAAATTTGGCACACTGACACTGCTGGACACGCGCTTTAAGGTGCTGTACAAATAGGCGTGCTTGGGTACACGGTGCACGTGCTGTGCACGTGCAAACCTTTTGATGTTGCACTCTGTGTCACATATACGGGCAGAGCGGGTAGCGCGAGCAAGCTCAAAGTGCCAAATTTACACAGGCCACCCAGAATGCATTCCAGCATAGTTATTGAGCATATCTATCTCTTGGTGGACCCCAAAGGTGCGCTCTGCACGTGCAAAAAATTATCCGCGCGGGGCGGTGGGGATGCTTGGACACCCCATGTAGGTTTATGTAAATATCTCGAAAACGGCGTTGTGGAGCGCCACCGTTTTTAGCACACCCTTTCATGAATCTTTTTCACACATGCTGCATAACTTTCAGACCCAGGTCACTCAAGGTTAGGTCACCAGGTTACGTCCAAGTGGCCTTACCTTAGGAAAAGTTATAATGCCCGTCACAGCTACACAGACTGAACAATCGGTCTAAAACGTTGGCGGCGATTACTAAGAGCACCATATAGGTATGCGTAAAGTATCTTATCCATAGTTAAGTATCAATTATCCATATTAAAGTAGCTTATCCATAGTAGGTGTGAACCACCAATGATGGCGTCGTAACATGTTACGAAGGCACTAAAACTATAACTTCTTAAATGTTAAACTGAATGCTAAATTCGAAATCAGCTCCAAAAACTGTCCCAGAAACGTGTAAAACTCGAAAAGGTGAACAAAGGTCAGTAAAGGTCAGTGACCTTGACCTTATTTTCACGTGACCTTGACACCCACCATATTGCATGTGACCAACATCATATCACATGTTTGAACGCTTGAAACCACGAAAAGACAGCAAACGCGCTGCTAGTGCGCGCCGACGTACGCCGAATCACGATTCCGGCCAAACATGGTCTCGTAATAATAACTTAATATCAGATGCTGATTTACCGCTACTCAGTCAAGTTAGAGCCATTTCTTCTTGGCCGCGGTCACCGGTCCAGGCCACCACATAATCGTATTGCACCGCGCTTGCTCAATGCTCAGTTCGTATTGTAAAAGCACTGCGGCACAGCATAGATGCAGGCGCTCTGCTACTGCCATCTATGGGTGAAAGATGAAGATAATGGTTATTGCGGTACAGTATCACTACAGGCGCAAACAACGTGGAAACAAAGATGCCTATGCTGGGCTATCGGGCGATGGTAGCGTAAATTTGCGTTGCTGGGTAGCTAAAAGTTTTGGAGCCCGAATTTGACAAAAGAAATGGTTCAAGTAGTATTGTCTTTTATCTCGACCTTCTCCTTGTTGATAGATAGCCAAATATTAAAAGACATAGGTTACATTTGCAGTCGGGCACAGCCCATCATCAGATGTATATTGTTCCAAAAAAAAAAATATTCCAATACTACTTAAATATTATGCTCCTTGCCAAAGCACTTAGAGATATAAAAGAAATGGTTCGCCGTTTTAAAGACCGTATCAAACAATCTGCGGTTACTCTCAATTCTTGCTTTGAGATAACTGGTGATTTGTTTATCAAACTGTGGTACTTACAAGCTATTACCAGCACATAACGAACTTCAGGCGACACCGCTCGTCTATGTTTTGTGTCCTTTGCCTCACGTGAGGGTGATGGGAACCTACTGGAGTAGGCAAAAGTGATATCATCATCATTTTCAAATGGATCAGCACCTAAAATGGTGAGCCGACCAGGGGGACCGACGAACGTTGTTGTTGTCATCATCGACCATAGGTGGCCATCGACCATCGACCATAGGCCAACGTTTTAGACCGATTGTTCAGTCTGTGTAGCTATGACGGGCATTATAACTTTTCCTAAGGTAAGGCCACTTGGACGTAACCTGGTGACCTAACCTTGAGTGACCTGGGTCTGAAAGTTATGCAGCATGTGTGAAAAAGATTCATGAAAGGGTGTGCTAAAAACGGTGGCGCTCCACAACGCCGTTTTCGAGATATTTACATAAACCTACATGGGGTGTCCAAGCATCCCCACCGCCCCGCGCGGATAATTTTTTGCACGTGCAGAGCGCACCTTTGGGGTCCACCAAGAGATAGATATGCTCAATAACTATGCTGGAATGCATTCTGGGTGGCCTGTGTAAATTTGGCACTTTGAGCTTGCTCGCGCTACCCGCTCTGCCCGTATATGTGACACAGATTGCAACATCAAAAGGTTTGCACGTGCACAGCACGTGCATCGTGTACCCCAGCACATCTATTTGCACAGCGCCTTAAAGCGCTCGTCCAGTAGTGTCAGTGTGCCAAATTTGGTGTGCCTAGGTCAAGGTTTTCCGGAATCGGAGGATGCATCCTCAAAACATGTTTTTCGCCCCTGGCGCGTGCATTCCGCACCCCCTGCTGCCGAGCATACCATATGGTAATGGTCAAACACCGGGACATGTGACCTGTGAATTTGGCACCTGTGCCGTCCACCGTTTAATTTGGAGCGTCGCTTAAAGGTTTTTGCCCTTCCCGACTTTGTCGGCACGTGGCACGCGCCACGTGACACTGAATGACCTGTGTCATGCATCATCACCTGCCTCAAAGCATTACCCATCGAACGGTACCACCAGCATCTCGATCCGATCATCCGTTTAGACGCAATTCCAATTGTAATGGTTCGATGGCCTTTCAGAGCACGGGTTTTTGGCAACGTAAAATGGCGCCTTGTCGGCTTCACTATCTTCCATAGGAGGTCCATTGGGATCGTCAGTCCAGTTTATTTATACGTCCGTGCGAAATACCGGCTGAGTTGTCACACGTTGAATAGGTTTATAGCCATCCGTCTTGTGAAAAAGTTGAACTTTTGCCTTTAATATTTCTACAGGCAATTTTAGAAGTGTCTTCACATGGATTACAAAACCGTTTAGATTATTGTATTCACTTCAAGCCTTCCCTATTGTTCTTGATGATGCGGGAACTATTTCTAATTAGTGTTTCTAGCTTAGTAAAAGAACATACTGTGCAAACGATGAAAAAAGCATAAATGGAAGATTTTAAATGCAATTTTCTCTAACAATTAATGGTAAATTCTCTACATATCAAGGAAAATGTGCATGCTAACTGATAATTTAAAGTTCTTGGGGCCAGTTGTTTTCTTCTTTTCTTACGTCGCCCCAATGGCCGCGAATACACTTGTGATAACGCCTATCGGTAACTTTTCGGCAGGTTTACCGTAGGTCTAGTGCAATTTATTCATTTACCTACCATCAGCGCGCTCTTCTGAAACTAAAGGCAGAGTTTCCGACAATCATGGCCACCGGCGTCGTCGCTCATTTATGATCTCAAGCGGCCGGCGACTCCTCGTTCACGGTTCAACACACACAGCTTCCGCCGTCGGATCTTCACCGAGGGCCTCATCCGAGGCTCAAACGATCACAGTGTCTTCTGGATCAAGGCCATCTGGACCGCGCCATGTGATTGGGACGACCACATGCGAAGCATGTGATTGTCATTGGGCTGCCTGGTCCTTGTTATGCACATGATATTATAATTGCATTTATACAATTCTAGCATCGCCTAACGAGATGGCGTGGTCACATGACGATGGTGACATGAGGTGACACTGCTGTAAGCTGAATGCCGGCTTCGTATACTTGTACTCGTATACCTAAATCGCTGAACCTGTGTTGGCAAATTCAGCTGCATTGCAGCCTGCTTCAAATTGCTAAATGTTTTATCGAGGATTGCGATAATAAACTAGCTGTTAAGAAATCATCGAAGCTTGCAATTTATCGGTTACAGCTTCCATTCACAGCAAAACCACATGAGTTATATCAACTGCACACATTTTCTCTTCAAAAGTCAATAGATTGTCGTTATCACAGCTGTGAATGCTTTTCGCTGGCATTGTTGAAATATTTTTCAATGCTCGCGTATCTAATAAAACACGCAAATAAATTTAAAAGGTTTTCTAATTTCATCATTAATTGAGTTGCATGGGATCTTTTACCACGTCAAATACTTATATTCGGATTTTTTTTACAATAGCTTACTGTGCCGATCCCTCCTTCATCATCGCTCCTCTCAGCTGGCTTTGTCCAAGCCGTTTGCCGATGTCTCACGATGTTTCCCCATCTTGCCCCGTATACCAGATCTAGGGAAGTGTTCAACTTTTTTTAGAAAAGTCTCTAGATCAACGATCTCGTCCGTTTCCTCCCGTTGTTGCAATTTACGATGTTGAACGGTCGTAGTGGGAACGCGGCCTAATGGGTGATACGTTCTGCTTGGATGTTGAAGGAGTTACCGGTTATAGGATACATGGGCACCCATTGCCGATGTTGAACATAGGCAATCCGACGATGAACGAGAACATAGGTTGTTCTTGTTCTGATGTAGGGTTACATGGCAGTGTGAGGATATTTGGATAACACGGAAAAAATGTTTAATATGAGTGACTGTGGACTGCCGTTTGTCGTGAGGTGATCTTTCAGGTCCGCGAATTGTGAAACCTTCCTGGTTCTATTTGCCTATATGTCGCTGCCGTGAGAAAATATCTGTTGGTAGTTTCGTGTGCATGTTTTGAACACTAGGAATTTTTAATGTGGACTTTCTCCTCGAAGCTGGTTAGTTCGTTGAAGCTTTCGATAACTTTACAGGGTGAGCCATAAAGATTTACCCATCGATAAATTCACTTTATTTCCAAACGGGTTAGCGTAGGTATGCCATCTTTTGCATATATGTCGCAAATTTGTCTCCAATCCTGACAGTGTAGCTCATTTTGTATATGCTCGCCCACTGTCTCTGCTACGCTCCTGAAATGCGAGGTCGTCTTAACGCACATCCGCCGCTCCTGAAATTCAGGAATCACCACTGGGTGTTGGCTGCTGAACACTCCTTGGTCTAAAGAATGCTGGGCACAATTTATCCCCGACTTCAGCCCCACGGGCTTCGCAAACTGAAATATCCTGAAAACCCGACTCTACCGAGTCCCTGAAACACCGCAAATGACATACGGCGCAGCATTGTTATAGCATGGGTGATCGAAGAAAATAAGTGAAAAGACGGCGCGGCGACCGTGTGCCATAGTGCTCTTGCGTCTTGGGCGCGTAACATAAGAAGAATGCAAGCATACAGAAAACAGACTACATTTATTATTTAGGAGATGACGTTGTTATATGTATGTAAAAGGTGACATAGCTATGTCAGCGCGCCTTGAAACAAAGTTAAATTTTCGATGGGTAAATCTTTATGGCTCACTGTATATATCTATCTTTACTTTAATACCCTTTCAGAGTGAGGTGAAGGATTGATACGACTTCTCAGTTTTTATGACACGACTGTTGACGGAGACATGCAAATGCATATCGAGATTGCCAACCCACTAACGAACTTTGTGAAGGAAGTCTATTTATTTTAAGCTTTTCTATATTTTGACTTCCACAATTTGCCTTTACGTTGAATGATTTTAGTTTCCGAATGTTGTTTGCGTCTTGCGCTTAGATTTATTTACGTTATGAAATCTATACTCGATTGCCAGGATGGTCAATTTTTGTTATTGTTTTGATCGACAGGGTAATCCGTATCCGGGAAATCCAGGGTATCCGGGATATCCGGCCCCGGGCGGTGCGCCGGGATATCCTAGCCAGCCGGCGGGATATCCGCCACAACAGCCAGGCTATCCAGGTCAAGGAGGTGGATATCCAGGTCAAGGCAGCGGATACCCTGGCCAAGGCAGCGGATATCCTGGCCAAGGTGGCGGGTATCCTGGCCAAGGGAGTGGATATCCTGGTCAAGGATCTGGCTATCCTGGACAACAACCAGCGGCTGGTGGATATCCTGGTCAACAACCAGCGGCAGGTGGATATCCTCAGCCTGGATATCCACCTCAAGGAGGAGGAAATCCTCCACAGCAACCGAGCGTTCCAGGTCAGGGGCCTGGCTATCCGAATCCGCAGCCTGGATATCCAAGTCCACAGCCTGGATTTCCAGCCCCTGGAGGCGGATATCCTCCAGCACCTTCAAGTGGAAATCCGAGCCAGCCGGGTGGATATCCAAGTCAACCTGGCGGACAACCAAGCCAGCCTGGCGGATATCCAAGTCAACCAGGCGGACAACCAAACCAGCCAGGGGGTTATCCAGGTCAGCCAGGTGGATATCCAAGTCAACCAGGCGGACAACCAAGCCAGCCAGGGGGTTATCCAGGTCAGCCAGGTGGATATCCAAGTCAACCAGGAGCACAACCAAGCCAGCCAGGGGGTTATCCAGGTCAGCCAGGTGGATACCCAAGTCAACCAGGTGGATACCCAAGTCAGCCAGGTGGATACCCAAGTCAGCCGGGTGGATATCCAAGTCAGCCAGGCGGATATCCGGGTCTAGGCACCAACTATCCCCTTCAGGGAGCGAATGTCAGCCCGCAGCTGGGATCATCCAGGGGTGGAAAAGGAGATCCATACCACTCCAGCAACACAAACTACCTGGATAAGGTCAGTCTAATATAAGGTAGGGACTCGGCGGACATTTGTGTGTAAAATTTGAAATATGTTTTTGTTAATATGCTCCACTTGTTATTTTTCCCTTTTACTTTTGGTAGGTACCAATCCTTGCTCAACTAAACCTAATCTATTATAAATTTGTTTGCACGTTGCACGCAACGATATTGATATCAGTATAGTGTATATATCATACGTGCACTGGCGGATCCAAGGGGATGGGCATTTGGGGCTAATGCCCCCTGGCAGCGACCGGAATCGATGAAACTTAAGTGTGTTGGCTAGAATAGAAAGAAAATTTAGCAACTTTCAAGAGGAAAAGCTTAAAAAGCTTGAAAGTCTCCTGATGCACAACAGCAGATATGTGCACAGTGCATGGATCTGAGTGATTGATCTATGATCTCAGTGGATCTCGAAGAAGCAAACTGCAGGTTAGGATCAATGATCCCACCGGGTCCGGTGTGATAGTTAAATTTAATCTGGATCTATGATCTCATGGGATCTGACGATAAACCAAGAGCGTGGACCTATGATGAGTGGATTCCACCATGCACAATATTTGAAACCAGGTTTCCAAGTGTTGCTATGTCAATAATTGTGCCACAAAACTATGTATTATGATGTGCAATCACATAAAATCTCTTTGTGAGATTTTATGCACTTTATCAACTTAGCACTTAGCAATGCACTTTTTATCAACTTAGAAATGAGTGACTTTCTGTGATTTCTAAGTTGATAAAAAGTAAATGAGGATCTATGATCCCGACGGATCCGAGATCAGGATCCGTGGGATCAGATCTCAGATCCATTTTCTCGGATCTACGCACATATCTGTACAGCAGTGCGTAAGAAATCCGAATTCCGAATCCGATGCTTTTTTCCTCGAATTTTGAGGGAAGTTGTCGGGGGTATGCGGCCTATGCCCCTCGCAGTGTCCGAAACAGCCTTTTTGGATCCGCCTATGCATACTTGCCTTATTAATATATTAGGTACTAGGGGCCTACTGCCCTGACCTCACACGGCCACCTTCACGTTTCTAACTCCTGACGTTATGCCAAGCCCACGTCTTGCCTATGACATCACCTTGCATGACGTCATTTGCACACGACTACGCGCTACTGCGCTGTCGGGCCGCGTCCAATGCCAGAGTCTGGCTCGACCAAAGCCAGAGCCCGTTCACTCGCTTCTGCGAATTGGCATCTGCGCCGCCGACGGGGCTGGGTGCGCTGGAGAGAGTTGGTACTCGGTAACGCTGTGAAGTGGGGCTCTGTAAGGTGACAAGGCACCGTGATAGTGATAAAAGTCCGACCCCAGCGGGATTCGATCCTCCGATTATGGCACAGGTTAGTGTGTGTGATATCAGGACCCAGTGGGTGCGATGGAACCTAGAGGCCGGCTGGAGCAAGCCACGCCCTCTGAGCGCGAGCGACGCTCGGCCGGCCGGGCGGCCGGCCGGCTGGAGGAGGGGAGGGAGGAGGTGCAGCAGCTGACTGCAGACTGGTTTTTGTTGGCCCGCCCCTGCCCCACCCGCCCCTCCCTGCGACGTCCATGAGTCCTCCATTTGGACCGCGGCCAGAATACTGTCATCCCACTCATGGGGTAGGACGCTGGATACAAGGGATGGATGCGAGGGGAGTGGCCTCGATGCTATTTTTGTTGTCTTGCATAACGTTGTGGTAGGGTTGGGAATGTAGTGGGTACGGCTTATAATTAGGGAAGGGTGAGATACAAGACTTGTGGGCGCAAACTGCAGATTCCGAAAGTGTCAAGTTCTTAGATTGTGTTACCGATGACATTTGCCCAAGATTGACATTGGCCTTGGATTGGATTTACCTTCGCCTTCGTAGCATTATGATGTCTCAGGGTCTCTGGGTACTTCTGGGCTCCTGATTCTGACCGTTTTCTGATGCCCCTGGCCTTTTGTCTCCTAGCCTTTTGGCTTGGCCTGCTTACTGCTGCCTTGTCCGGGTCCTTATGGTGGATGGTTAGCTGTGGAAACGTATCTTAGCGTTTCTGTTCTATTCTATGCTATTCACCTCGTTTGTAGTTTTGCTTTGAGATGCGCTTTTCGTAGACTGAGCTTTTGCGACTGGAATCGAATTCACTTATGTTTATGTATGTTGTGCGATTTATGAAGTCATGTGTAAACGTATTCCACATTTAGTTGGTATTGGAATGTTTAGCCCTTGGGACAAAATTGCCGGTCCCGTAGCTCAGTTGGTAGAGCGTTGGACTCCGCGTGGTGAGAGCACGCGTTCCCGGTTACAACAGTCCGGGTTCGAAGCGCGACGGGCGCTTGACATTTATGGGCCTCCTGACTGGTCTTGGATATCAAATTGTTATTGTTGTAAAGGCTTCTCCCCGACAACAATACGCCGGGTACTGCCGACGGACTTTGTATGGTCCGACCCGGAAGAGGTTTGCTTGCAAAACAAACATCTACCTATAAAAGTTTACTCTGTAAGCTGTTCTTCGATGCCTTGTCCAGCCGGCTGTTCTCCACCCCTTCATACGCTAGACTTTCCGTTCGCCGATCCAATACATAGCCCTCAGCCCTGGTCCGTTCCACTAAGCGCTAGTGTAGTCCCTTACCAATGGCGACGCTACAACCCCCTTGTTTACCCTACCAGAGCTGCCGTTTAGCAATACCAATTCACACTTAAGCTGCGCATCTGGTTGACCGATGACATTTCCAAAAATATATGTAATATTTATTTCTTATTGAGGCTTCAGCATTTATTGAGGAAAAGGTCATTCAAAGTTGAACTGATGACATTTAAACCACATCCTGGTGCTTGATCGGCTGGCGTCAGTGATCGTACATCAACAGCAATGACGTCACGCTTAATGTGTTGTTAAGGACTGGCGCACGAATGCCGGTTGTGGATAAGGTCCTGTTTTGACCGCGACTGCTGACGTAGGCGGGGTGTGTTGCAGTGAAAATCGCCTCAGTACGAGTGAAATTGCGCATTGGTTACTAGTAATTTCTGACCTCATAATCGGCTGAGCGATCAAATCCTTCTTGTCACATCCGCCCCGGGATATGGAAGGACAGAGTTATTTCATCTTCAAACTGAAACCCGGTTATTACCTTGATAGGTGTTCTTATTTTAGCTTTTTAAGTAGATTCAAGCCTTTGTGATGCTGTGATCGAGGCCAAGCCTGAAGTTATGCATGCAACTTCTTTGAGCACTTCCGAATCGCTTATTCATAATTTACTGTGTATATTTCTTCAGTCTGGACACTCGGCCTTCAGCAGAGGGGAGAAAATCTCCTGGATCACATTCAGTGAAACTGACTGTTCTGAATGAATTAATTAGGCATCTATTAACGAAGTTTACTGCGCCATGTTCCAATGTTGGCGCACGTATACTACATATAGCCCTCCCCGAATCAACTCCACGCCTATCTACCTACCAACAGTTTTTTTCTCCTTTTTTATTTTTATTAGTCATTTAGTTATTTGTTTATTACTCCTGAGCGGCTGTTAAACTTCCTACATGTGTATTGTGTTATGTGTATTATTGCTGATCATTCGCCGAATATCTGTAAATCTGAATCCGGTTCCTGTTTCAGACCCACGGCACCATCCGGCCAGCGGCCGGGTTCGATGCCGCTGAAGATGCCAGCAAACTTCGCAAGGCGATGAAGGGTTTCGGTACCAACGAGCAGGCCATCATTGATGTGCTGTGTAAGAGAAGTAACGCCCAGCGGCAGCAGATCATGATTGCCTACAAGTCGGGCTATGGACGGGTAAGGAGGGATCTGGAAGGGAGAGGGGATATGAAGGGACGGGTGGGGAGAGGGGATAGAAGAGGGAAATGTATGTCTGGTGATGAGAGGATGGTGTACTGAAATTAGCCAAAGGGGTGAAGGAATGAGATGCGTGAGAATGCAGTGCAGCGAGAATGCAGTAATGAGTCGGAGATGCGATGAACGGATTGTGAACTATGTGGATGTGGTGAACGGTAGTCACTAGTCTTACCTCAAATATGTTACCCCTCATTTTAAACCATTTCGACATCTAATCACACCATGACGCTCCCCTCCCCGCCTCCCACCACTAACAGGACCTGCTGAAGGACCTGAAGTCGGAGCTGGGCGGCGACTTCGAGGACGTGATCCTGGCGATGATGATGCCGCCGTACGAGTTTCTGGCGCAGCAGCTACACTCGGCGATGTCGGGCGCGGGGACGGACGAAGATACCCTGTTTGAGACGCTCTGTACACACACCAACGCAGAGATTAACGGCATCAAGGCGGCGTATGCTAACAGTGAGATACAGGGGCAACTGGAGAAAGAGAATAACTACATTACTTGGGGCAAATATGATTGTATTATTGATGTGTAGCAGAGACGATACTACTTAAAGTTTGTACAAATTCTACATCGCAAGAGCATAGCCTTATCAGTACCATTTCAGCTATGAATAGTTATTTTTTTTGTGGCTGATGTTCCTTGTTATCTCATTCATGTTATTTTACATTCTATAGAATGGCAGATAAATTGACATTCCTAAGATGAGCCAGCATCTTTATAATTTTCAATACATTTCACAGGTGTTTGCAATGCATTGCTTCCTTTGAAGACACCTGTTATTTGTACTAAAAAAAGATCTGGCTTTTGACTTCTGACACAATGTATTTCTCTTTTCAGTGTACGGCAAATCGTTGGAGGATTCCGTGAGGAAAGAATCCAGTCATAATTTCAAATTGCTGCTTACCGCCCTACTTCAGGTTAGACCATTTACCAAGGAGTATTTGTGTTTTGAAAAGTTGTATTTATGTACATACAGTGACATATGTTGCAACGCATAAATTTATTGATCTTTGAGAAAACGCTGTCTGTATTTTCGGCAACAGTTAAACTTGCTGCCCTTTTCAGAGTCACCTGGGATGCCTTATTTTTACGATCATCTGACGCGTGACACGCGTTATCGTCCATCTGTTGCATGCTGTTACCCACCGTTTTTGCACGCTTCTACTGTTTCTTTTTCAGGCGAACCGCGACGAATCCAACCAGGTTGATAAGGCCAAGGCAGCAAACCAGGCTATGGCTCTCTACAAGGCTGGTAAGCACTGCCTGATATCATAAGCGTATTTTAAGGAGGAAACTGCTGGTGGCGAGTGACTGACAAGTATATGTACCTGTCGGACAAGCAAAACTAAACGGATCATAGTGAAGGAAAAACTTACCGAGTTTTTATTTCTGCGTAAATCAATTTAGTACCTACTCTTTTTTTTGCCTATTGACAATTGTTTATTTATTTCAATACATTGGTTTGAAATGACACGACGCATCAGGAAACTTTGTTTACGAAAAGGCCACTTGTTTAAAAACAATGATGGTAGAAAAAAATTAGCGCGTTATTTTGTAGCTTTACAAAAGAAATACTATGGAGGGCACATGAAAGCACCGCTATAATGTATTATAATGTATTCTACATAGTCTCCACTCCAACATTCATCACACATTCTCTGTAACGCTCACCGCTGGATACCTGGCCTCAGAAGCGGTTAATTTAGTACCTACATACTCATCACGGCAGGGCACGGACTCTTCATCTCGCTTTCCAGCGCACCATGTTGCCATAATAGGTACAAGCATCGCCTCTTTGCTGGACTTTATCCCCTTGCATTCTCTATGCTTTCACTTCGAAGCTCAAACTCTGTTCTTACTTACGCTATAAATCCCTCAATCACGCTCCACTTTGCTTTCATTTTCTGCTCCCTAGCTCACGTTCTGACTCCTTAACTCTACATGGGTCACACCTAGTTTTGGCTCCCTAGCTCACACGATGACTCTAATTCACTTTCAGCTCCAAAACTCACTCTGACTCCCTTCCCTGACTCAAACTCCTCTGTCTCGCTCTCCCAGGTGAAAAGAAGACCGGCACGGACGAGGAAGCCTTCACCGTGATCGTCGCCACGCAGAGCCCCGCCCAGCTTCATGCCATAATGGCAGAGTACGAGAATATATCCAAGAAGACTCTGTTGGATGCTGTAAAGTCGGAGACAAGTGGCGATTACCGTCAGGCGCTGCTGGCTGTCTGTAAGTGACCTGTGCATATGGTGAAGAGAGGAAATCCTGTTGGCCTTAGTGAGGGTTTTTTATTGGGGGATTTAGAACGGAATCGGGCTGTTGTCTTCTTGGCGATCTTGTGTGGTCTTGGGGCGAAAGGGTTTGATATGAGGGTCGGGGCCGAAGGGATTTCACTGCAGGTCGTTTTGTGCGCATCTGGAAAGAAGTTTGTTGGGAGATGTACAATACAAAGAAGGGTTTGAATTCGATTCATAAAAAGCAAGAATAGTGTGGTCAATTTTTCGTTCGTTTATTAACTCTTTCTTTCGTGCATTTGCTAGATAAGGAAGCAGGTAGCTTCAGATGGTGGATGCGGTACTCGCCCATTCCTCATTTGTGTAACTATGCATTCGTTCATTCGTTCGTTCATTCATTCATATTCTACTTAGCGACCGTCAGACCGCCTCGCCAGCTACCCCCCCCCCCCTCCTCTACCAACAGTGAAGAGTTCGCTAAACCGCCCGGCCTACTACGCGGAGCGTATCAAGGATACTATGAGCGGAGCGGGCACCCGCGATTCGGACCTGATTCGTCTGATCGTGTCCCGGTCAGAGTACGACCTGGCCAACATTAAACAGGAGTACCTGCGGAGATACGGCCATGCCATGGAAAAGGATATTTCGGTAAGTGAGGGAGAGCAAGGATGGGTGATGTTGATAACTGTAATGGGGTCCAGTTGTGGGAAAGGATGCTGTATTACAAAGTGGGAACAGTGTATTGTTTGTTTATTAGGGCTTACGGGCGCGTCGACTGCGGTGGTCATTTTGCGTCCCTTCAAATGAAACCAGTGTAACAGTAACAGTGTAAATGACAGTGTAAATGACACTGTGGGAACAGTGTAAATGAAACCAGTATAACGCCTTTTGGGGCGACTAACGGAGCGAGCGAGAGGGTGGGCCTTGCACGTGCGAAATTGCGAGGGGGTACCTCCAACTGACTTGTGCACGGCACCCTACTAACTGGTCTCTAGCGATGTGCCAAATTTGGGCACAATCGGCCCAGCCGTTCTCGAGATCTGGAAGCGGCACCCTGCACGTGCGCACGTGCAAAATGGGTCCCAAATGACTTGTGCACGGCACCCTACTAACCGGTCCCTAACCGTGTACCAAATTTGAGCGCAATCGGTCCAGCCGTTCCCGAGATCTGGAAACGACCCCTGCACGTGCGCACGTGCAGCAGCACCCCAACTCTGGCACATGTATATGCAGTGCCTAGTGGGTGCCTACCTACATGCCAACTTTCAGCGCAATCGGCCAAGTAGTTACCGAGATATTGCAACAATTACAAAACTGACACCTCTTCGTTTTGCACGTGGCACGTGCATAAGGGGTCACCCACATGCATCGGGAATAGTCCAATACTTGGTAGAAGGAATGAAGCTACCCTACAAAAATTACCGCGTGTAAATCGGTCAAGTGGTTGCTGAGATATAAGCCTCGCAAAAGCGTCCGCACGGCCGGCCGGCCGGCCGGCCGGCCGCTCATACTCAGAAATTTCCGTTAATCTAAGGAAAGACTACGCTCGCTTCGCTCGCTCCGTAACCAGTAATTTCAGAACAGTACCAGGTACTTCATTCAAAAAGAAACTTATCCGGTAACCGAAATATCTGCTTTTTCCCCCAACGGTTTCATTCCTTCTAGCACAGCGTACAGTAGGTCTATTAAAAAAGTCCCCAGCACCAGTGGGCGCTGCCGTCGCTGAGCCGAACCCCCGTCTGCCTGTTCCATATCGCGCCGGTCTCAGGTCAGGTAGGGTCAGCGGGACCGCTCGGTCCGGCCCGCGGGCGGTGGACGGGCGGCCGGTAACGCTTTCGGCCAGCCAGCTGTAGACTCCAACAAACGGGACGGCCACCGCTCAGCGCAGCGAAACCGGTGTTAAAGAATGGCAGCAGATGTTCATGTTGTTGTTGTTGTTGAAGAGTTAGGGCGCGCGGCAGATGTTCATGGCCACAATGATTATGAGATAGTCATTGTTAGCCTGTGCCCCACAGGAATGCCTAGACTCTCACGCCCTCACGTTGGAGGGGAAATGGGGATTGAGCATCATTCTTATAACTCAGCTTTGGGCATTTAAGTGGTATTCGAAGTAGCGTCAAAAGTAGCAAAAAGAAGAAAAAATACTTCAGCCAATTTTGGATCGGGTCATAGCCAGAGGTCATGTCACTTAAGGTCATCGATGGTAAAATTTTGCTTGGACAGGGTGCGTTGCGCGCACCGGTGCATTGGGTTTCCAATTTCCATGGAAACATCAACAGACCCGGAAGCTCGCAACGAGCGTGGAGCCGAATTCATATCAATCGCCGCAACAATGCAGCAGCGCAGCGCAGCGTGCAGCAGCGCGGGGCCGTGAAACACCGCCCAGCGCTATCCAAATGTCAGGGCAATCCAACCCACGTGATGGGCTCGGCCCCAGCGGAGCATGAGGTCCAGGACTCCCACCCAGGCCCCCTGTCTCCCCCTAATTCCTATCATCCCTCCCACTCTGAAATCGACCGAAAGAGCCTAACCTAACACAACAATCAGCTCGTTTACCGCTATGTCTGAATAATATTGTCAGATTTAATCAAGGTCAACGGCTTAGCATGTAAATAACAACAACTGCCACCATCGGTATTATGAGAAAACCAATTGCTTTTCCACAAACACTTAAAAGTTTTTAGCTTAAAACTTGCATGAAATTAATTTTACCAGCCTCTTGTTCCTCTTATCAAAACGCTTTGAATGAATCAAAAGTTGATCTTTAAAGGTCATTTGAAAAAAGTTGGCCTATGTTCAAAGACATGACCTAACCTGAAATGGTCATAATGCATAGCAGGATATTAGATCCGTTCCGTATCGTGGAACTTTACAAACACTTCAGATGATTTCATAACTTAAGCATGTCTACCAAAAATAATTATTACATGGCTCATATGTATTGCTGGGTGTGTGAACATGCTTTCGAGTATGTTGAACGCAACTGATATGTTCTGTTGGCCACAATTTCTATATTTAATTTATCCTCCCGGATTTCATATTTTTGTTAATGACACCTTGACGATGTCGAGAAAAAACGCTTAGGGGATTTAACAGCCTGCGATACATTCAGTATAAGGAAGGTTCAAGGGTGCTAGATTCCTTCCGTCCTCGCTATCCTCAGGAAAAACCAATCCGCATCGCCCCTAGTCTTCATGCTTCCCTCTCTGGACTGGAGGTCACCCCACCAGCCAACCTGTAGTTGATGTCGGATCCATTCCAGGACACATAATCCTCTTCGGGTGACCGTTTGGGAGACGGCTGGACCGTCCCGACAGGCCAATCGTCCCACGGGAACAGTCTCGCTTCCGCAGATCACTGTCGCTGGCTCGCACAACCCAATTACTGCACCAGAGCATAGTTATGTCATAGCTCTGCAAGGGCCTTTTCAGACCGAAAAAGATGGCCCCCAACAAAACAAACAATTTTCTCATTCAGTATTGCATCCCATCAAGCACCACATGTTGTCAGAGTGTTTATTATGCGTTCCGTCCAATAAAACGTAGTTCAATTTTCTCCCATTCCTTTCTGTCAACAATGTCAAACATGCAAAGTAAACGTTTCAAATACATATACTGTTGCCTTAAAATCGCTGAAAGTTCTGAAGCGATCGGTTAGTCGGTGTATTTAGATATGATGAGCACAGGAACTTTCCTTGAGGTAAGGTCACTTGACGTGACCTGGTGTTATGACCTTGAATTGAAAGACTTGGGCGGGAAAAAATGGGTCATTTGAAATCTAAAAATGCTAGATTTTAACAATAATTACAAACACTATCCCGGCCAAATAGTGAGTGAGAAGGGAGTGATTTCCCGACCCCATGTTTATTGTTTAGCTCCTATAATTGAGCTAGCTGCTAGAGCCTCGCGGAAAAAAAAACGAGCGCTTGCGTCGTTACGTGACGCAGCGACTGGTACCCCATTTTACAATATCAGTGACCTCTTAGGGCAGGTCAAGGGCCCCAAGGCATTTGATCGGTTTTTGGTAAATAACTAAACGCATTATCGTCATTTCGATACAATCGTGTTTTCTGTTCTCAGACGCGTCGATTTATATGCTTTTTGTTTAGGTGAAGCAATTTAGGATGTTTACCTCAGGTCATGTCACGTAAGGGCAACGCAGGTCACGAAGCTGTTGAAATGTTGCATAACATTTGATTCGGCAAGTCTTGCAAAGTCCATTGATGGCTGTCCCGACTGGCTAGCTCATTTTGATCGGGAGTTATTGACGAAACACTCCTATGACCCTGGTGACGTCATAAATGATGTCACGCAAGGTGAACAATACAAAAGTGAAGCATTAGACCTTGCAAAGAATGTATGAAGTCACGGTTTCATGTGCTTGAGATATAGTTTCAGATCATTTCAGACGCCAAATTAACACTTTCCATAATTCCCCATTATGCTTATATGACACTAAGTGCATTGCGGGTTGCATCATTTTATAACTGACAACCGTGCAGAGGTTTACTTAACCCGCGCACCGACGGGGGGGCGGATATCCGCCCCCCCCTGAGGTTTTTCGCGAATAGCGGGAAAACCGCGGCGCGTAGCGCCGCGAAATTTTGTATGACTATTCCCTCATCAATTTTACACATGGTGTGCAAGTTTGAACCTCCTACCTTTCAAGGTCAGGTCACCAGGTCACTTTGAATGACCCAACCTCAAGTCACTTTTTTGCAACTTTGTCACCGTGCCAGAGCTACAGTAGATGTCGGAGGCCTTTGAAAGTCGCAGGATGTTATTAGGTCATTAGTAGCTACAATTTGTATATCTCGGAATTTTGATATCGGTGACCTAAGGTCAGGTCGATTTCGCGACCTCCCCATTATAAGTCAATGGGGGAAAAATCAACTCCCTGTTTTTACCACTAAAACGGGTCAGAATGGCCCCATATACCATACATGACTTCATATACGATCAACCTTCACTACCTTGAGGTCTGTTTTGCTGTTGGGCAGCTGTGAGGTCATGTGACGTCATCAAAGGTCACCAAAGGTTTTTGGCCAATAACTCCGTACAGGAACAAGATACAGACGCGTGGATGGTCTCATTGTGTTCAGCTCGTAAAGACGCATCGAATGATATACATGATGACCTCGAGGTCACGTGACCTGAGGTCAACCTTTGACCTTGACCTTTCGAGGTCAACATATATATCATTCGATGCGGATTGACGAGAGGATCACGATGCTGCCCTTAGTTTGTTCCTATCTTGACTAATTCGAAAGTTATTCGAGAAAAACTCTCTCCATATTCAGCGCCGCCATTTTGACTTTTTCGACCCCTGTGACGTCATCTTTGACCTGACCTGAAAATGACCTTAGTAAAAATTGTAGATCTTGACCGTGCGTATCCGATGCCGTTTACCGCTTGTCGCTATCTTGCTTCGTTCTCGAGATCTCAGGGGGGGGGGTGGTCATCCGCCCCCCCCCCCCCCGTCGGTGCGAAGTTGGCGCAGACCCCCGTCGGTGCGCGGGTTAAGACGTCATAGTTAAGTGACCTGGCCTGAAAACGTGGTTGATGTCAAGTGATCCGGCTTGAATGAAATGTAAGGCATGTGAAATGCCAGCCTTCTATCATCAGTGTGCTTTGAGCTACCGCCAAAAAAAAAAAAATACATGGTGGTGGCATCCAACCCTTCTTTTCGGCCGGCGAGGGTCAAACCTCGCTTCGAATCATTGCAGATAATGGCGACGTTTCCATGGCACAAGCTAAGCCTATTTTGAAAAAAAAATGGATTTGCTCCATCATAGCATTTAGGCATAATTTAACCCTCGCATGTGTGCGGCGTTTGCCAGCTTCTAATGTGTAGGGGGGGTCGGTTGGACCCCCCCTTGCCGTTTGGCCCCTGATCGAGCTAGAGCTTCGCGGAAAAAACGAGCGTGTTGCCCGTGACGAGAGGAAGCCGATGATGCCCAATTTTAAGGTCCTAGGTCATTGGTTGACCTTCCAGGTCAGGTCAATGACCCAAAGTCGGGAAAATCGGGACCTGTTAGAAAGTCGTAAAGTGTGGCTGCCAAGGGGTTTTTCGGGGTGCTGATCACGAATATCGTGTTAGTTTTGATCACAGATGATGTCTTGTAGCATTTAGACCAGGTCGGGTCAGGTCAGGTCAGGTCAACCAGTAGGCATCGTGACGGGTATTCGTAGTACGTGTCAACCGCCTCTGACAGCTTCGTAACATGTTACGAAGTCACCAAAACTACTTCGTAAATGTTCAAATGGTTGCTAAATTCGAATTCAGCTCCAAAAACTAGCCTAGAAACATGTAAAACTCGAAAAAGTGAACCGAGGTCACCCGAGGTCACCAAAGGTCAATGACCTGACCTGACCTTCAGGTGACCTTGACACACACGGGAGTAACATCAAATCACATGTTTGAACGTTTGAAACCACGAAAAGCTTGCAAACACGCGGCTAGTGCGAGCCGACATACGCGAAATCGCGATTCCGGCCAAACATGGTCTCGGAAAAGAGGTCACAGGTCAAAGGTCAATTGGGTCAGGGTCATGAAATTTTCAGGGTAGGTGTAAAATTGATCAATGCGAGGGTACTGAAAGTTTCGTCGCGATCGGCCGCTTTTTACGCGAGTTATTCGCGAAAAACCATGGGGGGGGGGGGTCCATCCGACCCCCCCCCCTACACATGCGAGGGTTAAAACTGTAAATATAGGATTTGGTGCTAGCTAAAACCATAAATACGCTCATTTTTTGCATAAGGTAAATAGTTTCCCAGAAAACTGCACGTGAAATTTCGCTAAATCGATTTAGACGTGTCATGGAAACGTAGTGAATGATGCGACCGAAAACAAAGCATTTATCTGTGTCTAGAACGGCCGCTGACTTGTTGGACAAGATCCCCAATCTTAATTCGCTAGATGGGAATAAAATACTTGGTATGTGATACATATAGTTATACCCCTCGATTTGCCCTTGCGCTAAGTCTTTTTAATCATCACTGTCGCTTTTTTATCCGAGACGATGTCGCCGCTAAACGGGTTGTTTTGTTTGCTTGCTTGCGTTGAATGGCCATTACGGATTATTGAAGGATTATGATAAAATAGGAATGGGGCAAGGGAGGCTATGCACTGCATGTGTTTAATTTAGATCACAAAGGCATCATTTCCGGCATCGTGCAGAGTCATTATCTTCCCTCCTCTGCACTGCGGCATCTCAGCGCCCCACACACGGCGTCCTCACTCCACGGCCGGCCGCCGCCAACTGACCCACTCGCCGGGCGCCGCGACCTGACCCGTGTCGCTGCCGCGGCCTGCGCAATAGAGTCGGGGCTGGAATCCGGGGGTTCGGCCGGCCGGCCGCCTCTGGAGCGGGGGACTTTTTTAGTAGACCTACTGTACGTCTGCAGCAAGTCGTAATTTGGTTATGTTTGCCCTAATTCATACCCTGATATTTATAACGCTCGTTCCCAACCTTTCCAGGGAGAGACTTCCGGCGACTACAAAAGGGCGCTGGTGATGTTAGTGGAAGGCAACTGAGAGCTGAGCCCGTCAAGGATCCGGTCTCCTTCCGTACTCCACTGCGTGCGGTGACGTCACAAAATATATTCGACGCAGCTTATTGTGACAACCTTATGCCGCTTGATCAGCGCATCAATGTCTATCCAATCTATAAAATGATGTATGAAAAAAATGAAAGAATCGATGGGATATGTCTGATTCTGAAGATAAGCCGCGCAAAACAGTGTTTTGTCGTGTTGATACGTTAAATTTGCTGATTTGTTCATTTTATACGATTAAAAAACTATGATTGCATCAATGCTAAGGCCATAAATCTAGTAAAAGCCTGCTCGTTTTTCCGGTGCTTTGAAAATCTGGTGGTCTGGTGATACTGATTAGTATGGTTTTTGGAAGCGATAAGGAGTGGTTATATGTAATTGGCTGGAGCGATACTAGTAGTGCTTAAAGGGACCCTCCCACCTTAACATTAGATTTGAGTTGAGATAGCCAAAATGGGGTCCCTGGCTCACAATTACCGGTTTCGGCACTCACAACATCGAGAAATGCCTTAAATCGGAAATATTGAATTTCAAAATTGCAGCATTTTGATTCAGAGGGGCTAATGCTTAGGAATACCCCTCTGAATGTGTGACGTCAGCGCAAATATCTAACGATTTTTAAATGTTTGACTAAAACGTTTTGTAGCACGCGGTGGTATATGCTATTTGCGCGCAACATCTGCCGCAAACGCCGCACTTCTAAAATAAAGTCGCTAGAAACAGCGGAGATCCCAAAAAAATAAACAAAAGTAAAAGTCTAATATCTTGAAAACGGGTGAATATTTTTCGGTGAAATTTGGTATATATTCGTTTTCGCTCTTTCTGAACCGAGTGACATCACTTTCATGCCAATTCATAAACTTTTTTGAAGGTGGGAGGGTCCCTTTAAGAATTGCGTCCGTATTTGTTTGAAAATGGGAAAAAGTTGTTGCTTTTCCGTGTTCAAGTCCAGAGCATGTTTATGTGTCCAAGGCGAACGCGTGGATGTTGCAATCGATCGTGAATATTTTTCTCTTTTTTTTTTCTTAGAAGTAACTAATTTGCTTTTGTTTCAAATGAGATGCGTGTTTCAAAAAGATCATGTCCACCGTCTACCGTCTAGTCCCATTGATTTTGATGGCGGGTCGCTTCTTCGTTGAAGGTGAATAAATTGTGGTATTCGTTTAGCGCCTGCGGCGAAATGCAAAGTTCCCCTTGAAGTTAGATTCGTTGCTTTGGCGTCATGAGTTCTCTCTCTAGGCAGTCTTATGCTCCAACTTATTACAAAAGAAAACGACCAATTTTCCAGTGCAAGCTGTTCGACTTTCTCACAATAGCCGTAACGAATCCAATGCCTCGGAATGTTTTGCATTTCTCGTTATTCAGTGCCTGTGACAGCTTGCCGGATAATTGTATGCTTTTAACAGCAGTGCCAATAAACGTGGCTATTTTCGGACAATAAAAGGTGCCACTACAATATTGATGTTGTACTTTAGCCTTCTGTCTGCAAAAGCCTCGATAGGCGTTATCACAAGTGTATTCGCGGCCATTGGGGCGACGTAAGAAAAGAAGAAAACAACTGGCCCCAAGAACTTTAAATTATCAGTTAGCATGCATCTTTTCCTTGATCTGTAAAGAATTACCATTAATTGCTAAAGAAAATTGCATTTAAAATCTTCCATCTATGCTTTTTTCATCGTTTGCACAATATGTTCTTTTATTAAGCTAGAAATACTAATTAGAAATAGTTCCTGCATCATCAAGAACAATAGGGAAGGCTTGAAGTGAATACAATAATCTAAACGGTGTTGTAATCTATGTGAAGACACTTCTAAAATTGCCTGTAGAAATATTGAAGGCAAAAGTTCAACTTTTTCACAAGACGGATGTCTATAAACCTATTCAACGTGTGACAACTCAGCCGGTATTTCGTCGCCTACAGCCCAGCTTTCCCTATTGACCGATAGAGGCGCTGCTATCGATGTCCGCCCGTGCCGCCTAACGTAATTTCAAGGACCCCTCTGTCTGCAAAAGCTTAACTTCAAGGACCCTTCTGCCTGCAAAAGTTAACTTCAAGGACAGACCTTCGACCTATTTTAGTTCCGTCTATTGCACTGTCTGTAAGTCTGCAATATTTATTGATTGATAAAACATTCATTCGCTGATCGTGTTGGTGTCGTTTGCTTTAGCTACGGTAAAACGTTGTGCACTTCCAACATTTTTTATTAGCTACGATTTACATGTCTATCTTTTCATGTAGTGTCAATGAGGGTATCAAAAGACAAATGTTTTATGAGAGCAAAAGATACTGAACAGTGAACACATACAAAACTAACTCTAAAAACGCTGACTGAGTAAAACGAACAACTTTGAGCCAGAGTTCCATGAGTCTTCATAAGTTTTCGCGATATCTAAAAGGTATGTATTTATTATAATCCATAGTTGTGTTATGCATATTGTAAACATACCCATGCAAATGTCGATGCTGGTACGCAACTTCTTTTTTTTTGGGGGGGGGGGGGTTAGGCCTTGCATCATGAAATGTAGGCATTTTTCGTTCCCTTGCTTCATAGGGAACGTTTCAGGTAGGTACTCCGGTCTTCCCCTACAGGTAAGAGCGAGGAGGAACACTGAGACTGAACATCGACCAATGATAGGACACAGAACAGAGGGAACTGGAGATCAGAGATGGCCGATGGGAACAATCACTAAAAGGGCAGACATTAGACTGGAGTTATTCCGCTTTTTAACGTATATTGTTCAGAGACGGGAGCGTTTCTGCTCGACTCCACTGAGGTGAAAGGGTGTATCGCATCCGGGCATCTTGTCGGGGGCCCCTTTTGATTGGGACCACTGTACCCATGCACGAAGCTTTTTATAAACAGTGGTGGCTCAGTTGACGTGCGATCAGCGCAGAAGCATATACAACTCAACCGACCGGCGGCTCAGCGAAATGCTATGTTGATTTCTTTGAGTCACGTACTTGGATGTGGATGACCTTTCACGGACCGAGCATGGTTTGGCATGACGTCACACAGAATGAACATATGGTTCGTTTTGACGTCAAGCGAGCAGAACAAAACACTTGACGTCTCATGAGCTGAGCGCTGTATAAAACAGTGTGGCTGCTCTCAAAAGCAGCATTCAACCAACCGCAGTGAAGATCGCTCCTACTAGTGCTCTGCCAGTTCCGCTTTCTTAGACGTCCCAATCGGACACCAAGAAGCAATTTTTCAGAACGTCTTCTGTTTAAACCACAGCCTCTCAGGCTGCTGTGTGGTCGCCTGAAGCAGCGTGACGATCCCGGTCTACAAGATACCTACAGGTCGCAGCTCTCACAGCAACTTCTTCAGCATCAAGCCAACCATGCTGCGTCTGCTGGTCATCGCCTGCCTGCTGGCTGTTGTCGCAGCTTTTTATTGTCCCCCCTGTAGGCCAGAGGAATGTCGCCAGCCGCAAAACTGCCGGGCCGGAGTCGGCATGGGTGTGTGTGGCTGCTGTCAGGTCTGTCTCCGTGCCGAAGGAGAAGCCTGTGGCGGGATCTGGGAGGGCTCCCCCAGATGTGGAGTTGGTCTTTACTGCTACAAGGATATGCGGAGAATACCGCCCCCGGGCACCATTACCGTGGAATGGTATAACCTAGATGGAGTCTGTGTGAGACCAAGGGCCTAAATTGTGATACGGCGAATCGAGAAGGAGCGCTGCAGGCTTTCATGAGCTGACGATCGTGGGAGGAGGGCTACTAATTATGATGGTGCGGCCGAGAGAGGAGCCTATCGATGACACGTCCTTGGCTGTGGGCTCGTTCGGGTTTGGGGGTAACCAGGGCTGATGAAGTTATTGAAGGCATGTTAATCAATGTTTAGGACTGTGCACTATGAAGCTGTTGAGCCGGAGTTGATCTATAGGCTTGGTTTGGATACTCACAAGTCACAAGAACATTGAGAATGCTGAATGTACCATGAACCACAAGGGTGACATTTGTCTTTCGTTCATGGTGTCTTAAGTACAGTGGTTCATGCATTAGTTATTTTGGGAATAAATAACGGAATGACATCACGTCTACGTTTGAATTGCTCGAGTTAACAGGTAAAAGCGTTCCGACTTCCGAATAACGCAATGTTGACCCGCGCCGGGCCGGGGGTGGAGACCTGACCTCAGTTACATTCGGCTGAAAATGGTCTCAAACGACACAGACGACACTGATTTCAAAATCTATGGCCTAAATGGACCATAAGACATGCATCACATGACCGATGAACGATATACAGTTTCCGTGACCATGGAATGGCCTGGCCTTGGCCTGAAAAAAACGCACAAGTTCTGTACCCTCAGGGTATCTCAAGCATCTATTCAGAAGCGTGCAAAAATGGGCTATTCTGACTGGTAAGCCGGCGGCCATAGCCCACATTGTAAACAGGGCAAAACATAGATAATTCGTATTGCCCTGACCAGTGACGTCATTGCTGTATTGCCCTGACCAGTGACGTCATTGCTAACCTGGAGAGTGGAGGTCCATGAAATTAAATATTGTCCCACAGTTTTTTTTTCTAGGGCTAACAGCCGTCGTTTGAATATTGACAATCGGCCCAGTACCTACCTAGTTCCGGAGTTAGGAGGTGCCCTATGAATACCCCCCCCCCCTATTTATATCTATATCACACCTTTCCGTGCTTCTATCCTCAGGATACAGAAATCCTTTTCCTCCACGCCGCAACCCCACTCCGGGCTGGACAGGCACCTTTATCTCATGCGGGCTGCTCCCTTGGAGCGGCACCGCTGCTCCCGAGGGAGCGCCTCCCGTAGCCGGGTGCAGAGAGTGCTTGGGGGGCTGGTCGGCCTGTCCCTTCGGACGGGCTCAGCCCCGGCGACTCTCTAGGGTGTCTGCCCAGACCAATGTCTCCCCCTAATTTCTATCATCCTTCCGGCTCTGCAATGGTGTTGTCAGACCGAAAGGGCCTAACGCCTAACCCAACAAAACAAATATTTATATCTATTAATTGGGATAATAGATATAAATATACAAAAATGATCAATATCATACCAGAAATGCAACATTTTTATTATAAATAGGTCTGATTTTTATTGTAAAATAGATTTGGATAATTGGAAGAACGAGAGGTATCCCGATCGTGACACTGATAATGCGTATAGGTAGGGACGTAGCCAGGAGGGAGAGGCACGGGGCCATGGCCTCCCCTTGAAGGCGAAAAATAAAATGGAAGTGAATAAAAATAGAAATAACTAAAAGCAGCTGCAGCCTGCACCACACCTCCAAAAATAGTGGGCCAGATCCGAGAAGTCTTTTTTGGAGGGGGTACGATACTAGGCCGCGACCTGTGGCCCCTCCCTGAGCAAAATCCTGGCTACGTGCCTGAGAATGCGTCGCACCGTGGATGCCCAATGATGCCAGTCAAAGCTCCCAAACGCAAATTCGATCAAGAAATTCCGGACTATTATAGTTAACACAAATTTTGAGCACCCAGTGTTTCGTTAATCGTAATAGCACCTGCCTTTACCGTCAGCGAGATGACTACGTCAAGGGGTAGTCAAATCTAACGTAAATGAGAGAATGGCATCAACCACTACTCAGCGTAAAAGACCTCAGGCCTCTAGTCAATCGGCCTTGCACGAATGTTGACATATGACAAACTTATGTTGACCTCAAAAGCGTGACCTCGGTAACGAGCGAACGCGAAGCGAGAAGCGAGTCTTTTCAATATAACGGGAAAAAATATCAGACGAGCGGCCCGGCCCGACCCGGCCTGTAACGCTTTTGAGAGGATTATAAGTCAGCAACCGCCCTGGGCTGATTGACCTGCGGTCTTTTCTTGGGTAGCCCCATCCCTTTTACCCCGTAATTGACTATTGATGATGCATTTAGGTGACCGTCGTGGCACGTGCCACGCAAAAACCAAGGGTGTTCAAGTTGTTCTGCTGAAGTGGCGATTTTGAGAGGCATATTATCTCGGCAACCGCCGGGCTGGGGCGATTGACTTGCGGTAATTTTTGTGGGGTATTTGCATCACTTTTACCAAACATCGGATACACTTGATGCATATGAGTGATGACCCCTACTGCACGTGCAAAATGCAAAAAGAAGAGGTGTCAAATTTGTTCCCATTACAATAACTCGGCAATTACTGGGGCGACTTTGCTAAAAACTTGGCCCACCAGGCAATACATTCCCATGTGTTACGGTCAGGGTGCTACTGCACGTGCGCACGTGCTGGGCGCGCTCCCAGATATCGAGAACGGATGGGCCGATTGCGCTCAAATTTGGCACTCCGCTTTTGGCGGGTTATTAGGGTCCCATGTACGTTGCACAAGCCAGTTGGAAGTATTCGCTCGCCCTTCCGCACGTTCGTGGCTCACTCTCTCGCTCTCTCGTTCTTCGCCCTAAAGGCGTTTTACTGGAAGGGTAGCAGTCGCTAAGAAATTATAATATACACTTTTCCGTAAGAGTCGCTTTGCGCTTCGTTCTAGCTCATAATAAGTCGTGCGATTGCAGTTTGACACCCTCAAAAGTTGAGGGTGCGCCACCCCCTCGGTTTAAAAGTCGAAGTGGCATGAGCCCTATCCCCCCCCCCCCCCCCCCAGTCCACTCAACCACTATTCTCGGGCCTGTGTAGAAAACACAGCCTTGTAAAGTAATAGTAGAAGCAATCTGATCATAAGGTCATTCTTATTATCAGATACTCATCTCCCAATGGGGATCTACCGATTTGCTTAGGCGCAAGGATATGCATATTAAAACAGACAGACATTCATACGATTATGCTCTTGCTCGAACATTAAGCAGCCTATCCACGTGGTCAACGATAAGATCCGACGCCTAAGCCGTGACAGAGCTGCTCATCCTTTTATATCTGTTCATTATTTTACATGACAAAATTCATCCGTGTATGGTGCCCTTCCATCTAATGCGACCACAAATATTATTATTCCAGGCAGAGACATTTCGAGAGAGCGATTTGCGGAAAGTACGCGACGCGGCTGCCTGTCTGATTAGTGCTTCACGAAGCGCAAAATTCAAGGTTACGTCGCCATATTGTGTGAGGTTGAAGGCTGTTCTGGCGTCAAAGGAGCCAAACTTGACTGCATGACGTCAGGGGGCTGTGATTGGAAGGTATAAAACCGGGCGCAGAGCCTGGGTAGCTATTCTGCCGTGGGATCTAGCATCCACAAGTTCTTCCGAATTCCGCTGTAACAACGTGAGAGATACGGTTAGTACTGCAGGATTCACTCCACAGCTCTCACTTTCCACATACCATGCTGCGTCTGCTGACTATCGCCTGCCTGCTGGCGGCAGCCGCCGCTCTGAGCTGTCCACCACCCCCCTGCAAGCCAGAGGAGTGCGGCGAGCTTCCTAACTGCAAGGCTGGTGTCGGTATCGACTTCTGCCAGTGCTGCCCCGTCTGTCTCCGCGCCGAGGGAGAACCGTGCGGCGGCCAGTACGAGGGTTCGCCCAAATGCGGAGAAGGTCTCATGTGCTTCAAGCCTCCTCTCAGAGAGGGGCAGATCGCCTACAACCAGGACGGATTCTGCAGGAGGAGGCGCATCGGCCGCCACTGAGCTGGCTGGCTTCATAACAAGAGACTGATGTATCGGCATTGCTAAGGCATTGACAGCGTTGACTAAGGCATAGGTGAGCCGCTTTGTCTTCGTCTTGGGTTTAGATGCGCAGCCTCATCGGTCTTCGGCGTCCCTAGTTGTCGTCAATAGAGGTTCTGACAATCTGTTTTGTGGTCCTCGTCTTCGTAGAGCGAGCGCGAACTGCGAAGTAGTGCTCGGTTGTAGCCATGCCGTGTGGACAAAATGAAATAAAATTACAAAAACAATTTGATGTTTCATGTTTGTCAATTGTGACAAGTGTTGCATGCTGGTTTCGAAACGCATTGGCTTCATGCTAGCCGCGGATCCAGGGTCAGCTGAAGGGGGGGGGGGGGCAAATGCCCATTAGGTTTTTCGCTAGGATAGGGCCCGCGGAACCTAACCTACCCCCAAATCCTATTTTCTTCCCGGATTTCAGCCACTTTATTTTGTAGAGCTGCCAAAAATAAATTTCTAAAAAAATCACGTATCACTGACCATCAAGGCCAAACGGGGGGGGGGGGGGGGAGGGCCAACCTGGCTGCGCCCGTGCAAACACCAATCTGTGACATGAACCTATAGGCTCTGCCCAACCGAACATCAAGTAGCACCTTTTTTAACCCACGCCGGGGCTGGGGAGGTGTTCGGACACCCCATTGCGGTCTTTTGCGGATATCTAAAAAACGGCGGCCGTATTTGGCACACCTGTCAATGCATCTTTTCCGCACATGTTATGAACATTTCAGACCCAGGTCGCTAAAGGTCCAGTCACTACGTCACTTCAAGAAACCTCACCTCAGAAAAACTTGAATGTTCGTCATAGCTACACCACTGACTGAATGATTGCCTTGAAACTTTCAGCGGCTGGTACAAGTAGCAGTATGTACCCAGTGGCGCGGGAACTTCTTCCAGACTGGGGGGCTGAACCATCATAGAGATCAACCTAGGGTACCCCCAAATCTAGTTTTCTCATCGGTTTTAGGCCACTTATTTTTCAGACCTTGGCATTTTCAACGAAAAAAAAAAAAGAAAATAATTGCAAAAAAGTGAGGTATTCCGTCTCAGCTGAGTGAAGAAACTACCGTTTTGGCAACCTGGAATAAAGGTTTTAAACTGCCAAATGAGTTGCCGAGTCAGTAAAATAGGTAGATTTTTCACTCACATGCTTTCTTCCTTTGTGACTCACAACCCCTAATTTGGGGGGGGGGGGACAAGCTGCCCCAACGGTTCCTGGCCTCATGAAAAGTTGTGAGGCACCGCCCCCACGGCCCCAGAGTTGTGAGGGCAAGCTTCCCCCACTGCCCTCTCCCCCGGTTCCCGCGCCTATGTATGAATCTATGAAATTGTGTTGGTAGATTTCCGATTTCGATTCCTCCAGCTGGGGGGGGGGGGCTCAAATACATTACGAGCCCCCCCAGCCGAAAAGTTGGAGGGGTTCAGCCCCCCCTAGCCCCCCCGGTTCCCGCGCCACTGTATGTACCTATAAAATGTTAATCTCGGAGTTTTGAGATCGGTGACTTACGGTCAGGTCAATTTTGCGCCCTCTCCTTTTTGAGTAAATAGGAGAAAATCGAAAGGCAGCTCTTTTGGACGAACGTCATTCCAAACACTCAAACATCGGGTTACAGTTAAAATGGACAGCTAAATCGAAAAATTGCAACCATGATCCCTCCATTTCCCTGGGGTCATCTTAGGTCATCAAAGCCAATGGCCCCCAGCAGTTTTTGACAATAACTTTTTATGGAGACGTGCTAGAGGAATGAAAACACATTCGATGACGATGTGTTCAGGTCGACAATACGGATCTACTGATATGCAAAATGATCTTTTCCGATCAGGTCACTACCTTGACCCAAGGGCAAATTTTCAAAATACCTTTTAAGTCCAAATTATATTTCATTCGAGCCATCTCGACGAGAGATCTCGACGTTTCTTGAGTCAAAAGTGATTAAAAAAAAAAACATTGTTCGTAAAAGCAGCTATTTTCAATTTTTGCCTCTGGCGGCTAAACCGTTGACCTGAGGTGAAATATGAGCACTGTCTTTAGAAAAAGCGTTGAAAGGGCTATCGAATGCGTTTCTCTGCGGCGCTGCAGCAGCTCCATTGGTTCTTGAGTTATGCCCCGGAGTTTCGAAATGTGTTGACATACATAGGCAATATTTTTCTTTTGATGTTCTCTGGTGACCAGACCTTTGACCAGACTTAAAAATGACTGCTTTCGTCTTGATTTTCGAAGGTCTTTCGAATGCCGCTTGCCGCGTGTCGCTACGTGGCCCAGGAGCCGAGTTAGAAGGAGAGGGGGTGTTCAGACACCCACCGGGCCGGAGCGGTTGGCATCGAGGACCGGCCTGGCGTCCTTTTAGACAGGTTAATGCGTGACTATTTCCACTGGATCAAAGCCGATTGAAGGGAAACTGCAAGGTGGTTTTATGCAGGGTCCGGCAAAAGTTTTGTCCTCTACCTATCAACACTAAAACGTTCGTCCAAAACAGCAAAAAAGTTTTTTTCTCGACAAAATCTAATTTCGAGTGCAGTATCGTCAATCAAACAGGTGCAGAGGTTGCGGTGCAGACGTACCTGGAGGCAGAGCCCTGCAGGCTGCAGCGTTAACTCCGACTCCGGAGTCGGAGTCGGTAAGATTTTGGCGACTCCGACTCCGACTCCGGGTAGAACTGTCGACTCCGACCGACTCCAACTCCGACTCCGACTCCGCAGCCCTGGCCTTTACACATTGCTCTCGCATTTCTTCTGCTCATTGTGTTGCTTTTCGGATATTGCAAGACAACCCTAAGATCCTTAGTCGCTGGAAAAATATTTTAAGAGCCCAGATGCTCCGGAAGCTTAAACTCTTGCTAGTTGCTTGAACCCTATGTCTTAAGTGATGTAGATTTTTTTGCCCCCCCCCCCTCGTATTTCCGAAACTACTGGACGGATCCGCAAAATTCAAACGGCGTTCGAAAGGCCTGTCAAATTTGTCGAAGGAAACCAAATTTCATTGACCTCGGGGTCACCGATGACGTCACAGGTCAGGTCAAAGATGAAATGTTTCACCGTTCACGGGTCTTCTAGGGAATGCGCTATAACACCGAGGAAAACGCATTTTGTCGAGAATCAGCGGTAGGGCGTCAGTTGCCTAGTAGATATGATGCTATTAGAGGTCACTGGCAATACGAGGTCAGGTCACAGGTCAGGTCACCAAGGGTCACAGGTCAGGTCACATGAGCCCAGCTTTACTAAGGTTGTGTGATACATGTTTTATGGCCAATTTTTCATTTCCAACTCAATGGTGTTGGTTATAAGACTATCAGATACGGATTAGGTCACTTTCTGGTAAAGTTCAGGTCAAGGTCAGGTCAAGGTCAGACCAAAAAAGGTCAAATTTTAAAGTTGATAGTTTTGCATAAAATGGGTATTGATTCGATGCAGCTCGTCACGGGGAGTCTAATGGTGGTCTTTGTTTTGCGCTACGGGGTCTAGAATTGCAAAAAAAATTGAGTTTGAAAATTTGACGTCATCAATTTTGAACAGTTTTTTTCGCTATAACTTCGCCAAAAAAAGAGGTATCAATCTCAAATTTGGTATGTGGATTGAAGGCGGTAAGGACTATCATATATATTCCGGTTTTTGCGAAATTCAAAAAACTTTTTGGATTTTTCGATTATTATATTCAAAAAATCTATTTTTTTATTTTTGGGGGTCAAAATCCAAAAATTTCAAAAATCCGAGATAGCAGTTTTGTAGCCCTGTCCATGGGTGTCGTTTTGTATAGGCCTGGTAGGGCCGGAGCCCTACCAATAATTTCGAAACTTTAACATTATGCCTATAGCGCTGCATGGTAAGAATGGCTTTGAAGTTGTGAAAATTAACATTAGAGCCCTACCAATCATTTTCAGAAAATGTCGCCCCTGGCCCTGTCCAATCTACAGCTTTTATGTCTTAATCATTTTTATGTATTCGCAAAGCTATAGGCCTGACAGCTCTTCCCGCGAAACCCTTTTTTGGGTCGAAAACGGCAGAACATGACGTCACTCTGACGTCATTTCCGGCCAACCTATCAAAGCCTTTGGAAAATTTTTTGGTCACAATGTGTAAAATTGATGTCCGGGAGGGTACTGAAAGTTTGGTGACGATCGGCGCAGCGGTTCTGGAGATATATCGAAAAGTCTGGAGGGGGGGCAAAAAAATAGCCCCCTTCCCACCAGGTCGCGGGTTAAAAAAGTATCAGTTCCCAAACTTACGCATATGTTATGCAACAACCAATCAAATATCGTGCAAAACTCACTATTAGTAAGCCTTACAATTTAGTGACGGCATGCTTTTTAAACTGTCGACATATCTGGCACAAACTGCGCCGTTCCCGCATTCCATACACAAAATACACAAACACGGAGATCAAGATCACACAAAGATATAAGTGGAGATTGTGGTGCAATAGTATGATCGATTTGAGTGGTGTCTTTAAAACTACACTATTTTAGAACTTTGTTTTGGAAGACGACAATGATAAAAGTATTCAACGATATTCACATGGTGTAAGAAATAATTGTTGCTGCACTTCTGCGTGCATCCATCGAGGACTGAACTTGAACTGATTTTGTGCCCACCTTTTTCGTGATGGGGACACTCAGTCTTTGGAAACAAACGCAATCTGTAACATACAAAGCAAGCATTTGCTCTAAAGGTACAGTGTTTCTGGTCATTTGTTCAATTTTGACATTTGTACCACCATTCCTCATTGCGTATAGAAGCAATGGATTTTGGCTGAAAGTGGCAACATACCGGGAACAGCCAGACATTAACTTCAAGCACAGTGTAATCACTATGGTAGATGTTGTTAATCCTGATGGCTACATTATCTGGTCAACATTTCCCACACTGAATGCAATGGTGGCCAGGAACTATAGAGCCCCAGTTGTATCAAGCTACGAAGAGGATCTCAACCAGGACGGCAAGAAAGATAACCTGAATCTAGAAATTGAAGTGCCATTGGAAGAAGGTGAAAGAGTTCATGCTGTTAAACTGCTGCTTGGTTTTGACTTCCGTCTGTACACCATGACAAGACTTCAGATGAACTCTTTGATTTACATTGCTTCCTCTTCAGCAATAGCAAGCAACCAGCTAACCGTGATTGGCGACATCACACTGAGCCAGAGGGAGCCACTGAAGCACAGAGGTGTGAACAACTACCTGAAGGAAAACATCATCAAACCTGACAGCACAGATCCGGAGGACTACGACATTGCCACAATCCTGGAGAACTATGCTAGGAGAAATCTGACAACTCACCTGTCAAACCCATTCCACGTGTGGACGCCCAGGGGAGAGTCAGCATCATCCTTCCTGCTGAGGGTGCGCCTCCAGTACCCAACGCTCAACCTGGAGTACACCCCGGGTGTATGGCAGGTGCTGAAGATGGCGTGGGTGCAGTACCTGGCCATTCTGGTCGTGTTCACTGTCATCTTCTGGAGGATCAAGGAGTATGTGTTCACCAATCAGATTGTTCCGACCTGGGCGGCGGCTTCTGATGCTGCAGGGAAGTGGCAGTAGGTTGAGGCTGCCACTTTTGTGCTGTGTAAGTCTGATGACAATTGAAGTGTTCCTAGTCACCAACTTCAGTGCACATTCACAGCATGTTTCTCATTGTGTCATACATATGTAGTTTTTCTGCACCAAGCACTTAGCTTCATTGTTTGCCAATTCATGCTCATGAGGCTGACAAGTAGTACATCATTTTTCATGTCAGTAGATTGTACCTATCTCTCTCTGTATTGAATCTGGTTGTGAGCCTGCTAGATTAATGGAGAGCTTGAATAACTGCCTTGCAACAATGCTATCAAAGCTATGATCTCAGCATTTGAAGTGTCATCAGTAATTTGGGTACTCTTGGCACAAATACATATCAATTCTGACTTACCACTATTGTGTTTTGATAAGTGGGTGGTATGCTGGAGCATTTGTGACATTTTTTTTTTTTTTACCAACCTCTTATACATACCTACTAAGGTGAATAGTTACATGTAACTGCCACAGGGCTGGGGTTCTGCTGTTTTTCATGCAATGACTCAACAGCTTTGAAGGTGTTTTATTGCACAGTTCATACTTCATACAGATGCTGAGTCTGTGCAGAGGTTTCTACTGAAATGTCAATTGAGTCTATGATCTGCCAACTATGTTTGTATGCAATGCTGTGCTGCAGTGTGCATGCTCAGTTTTTACACTTCATAAGATCTTGCACTGAGCATTACACTATGACAAATGTCACTGTCACTAATGCTAAATGATAACTAATGCATAATAGAAAGACATCAAAGCACTCCGCATAAAAATCAGTAGCAATACCATTTCCAGAATTCGATAACCTATCGTAAGAATCTTGAACCTGTCTTACGTTCTTTTATCACTGGCAGTCTGGCAGCGAACACTAGTGAACAGCCCTGTCGGCCCTTGTGACTGGCGACATCTATCGAAGTGATCTAGTGACAGCGACACCTATGATAATCATGTCAGGGTGGCTGATGGATAACAAGCCTGCAACTCGTTAGGATGATACAATGGACATTCCTCGCTGGGTCTGCGTAGAGCATTTAGTGCAAAAACGGTGGTGCTTCATTTCAACCATGCTCCTGTCTATTGGGCTGATGTAAACGCTGGAGAGTGTCGTGCCTGCTAAGTGTGCCAGTGGCGGTGGAACACCTTCAATTACCTAAGGGGGGGGGGGGGGCACTGCCGACTTTTGGTCCCATTCTTTCCATGCAACCAGCAACGCCCGTCGCCCATAGGGCTAATGTTAAAATGCTAAAATCAAAGTGGGGCACGGTGCCCCGGTGCCTCCCCGTTCCGCCGCCTATGAAGTGTGCGCCTCCCTCCAGCACCCGGGAGGCGAACTCTGGAATACACCTCGGGACGGCGCGGTGTCTGTCTGGGGAAGCTGACACGTCGAACCCCGAAGCCCTGAGACCTGAGCGCATGACAGTGCTCAAACTGTGCCTTTCGTCCCCTCTCCTGGTCATTTTGTCTGATATACCTAGAGTCAGATGCTCGGTGTTTCACATTGATATGTGTGGCTCAGTGTAAACTCTTTGTGAGCTATTGACCAGAGTTTTTTTGGGGGGAGGGTAGGTACGGGTAGAAGCAGCCTACACAGTGACCTGGGTGCGGTCACGTCGCTGGATCACGAACACTTTCTGTCTTGAGTCAAACCCCTTTTCTAGCACCATGGTGCTCGTGCATTCTTATACGACTCCCAGTGATCAAGCATCGATTATCAAAATTGCAATCTGGAAATACTTTTTTAGATAAGAATACAGGTAATCTTTCTCGGATCACACGAATCGCCTATTTCGACTCAACATTACCTGATGGCAAATCACGTCATAGCTTGATGACCGACCCTGGAAGAAAAAATAACAATGTAGACAACAATTTGTATAAACAGTTATCCATTTTTTTTTTTAGTACGCCGTCTGCCAGCCCACCCCTCCGGGCACCTGCCCGTCCCCAGCCGCCGTCGGCAGCGGCGGCTGGGGACGGGCGGTCCGCCGAGACCCCCCTGTTATGCCCGTTGCCGCGCTACGCTCACTGAGTCGGTAACGACGCCCGTCGGCGGCGACGACGGTCGCGTCGGGCAGAGCGCGAGCGTATGGCGGAGGTGCGGGTGCGAGTGAGGAAGAAAGTGATAGCGGCGGTGGCGCCGGCGTTGGACTGAGAGCGAGCCTCCCTTCAGCTCTGTGTAGCAGAGTGTCTAGCTGACGACAGAGCTCAGAGCTTAGATAGATCGTACCTGTGACTGAAGATGTAGCTGGCGTAGAGTGATGAAGCTATGTGACCCACGCCGTAGCTCAGTAGCTCACGGAGAAGCGCCGGAGGTGCGAATTGTGTTTCTGAACTCACGGAACACACCATAGTGCTGAACCTCTGGGACTCGTGTTGTTACCAACACTACAGCCTGTGCTGCAATCTGGCCGAACGTTCCCATTTTAGCTCACCTGGCTCACGGGCTGGCTCGTGAGCTACCCGCCCGGCGGCGTTCTGGCGGCGAAGAAGACGACTGGTGGGCGGAGGCGAAGCCTCAGTACGGGGGATAGGAGCTCGGCAGTCATGGGGATCAGGAGGACAGAGTCGGGACCAGCAGGAGGAGTTGGAGGAGGAGGGGGAGGACCGGGAGCGGACGACATGGAGCAGCTGACGGTGAGTGAGGTTGGGGTGTGAGAGGGGAAAGGCAGAGGTGTGAGAGGAAATAATCTTGGGCGTCGACGAGCTCCTCAGTCCGAGCGTCCAAAACCCCAAACCATCATCAGACGGTAACAAATTCATGTGCATGATCTGAGAACATTTACGGGGTACCTAGGTATATGATTTTCAAAGCCTGATCTAAAGGACCATTATCATATAACCAACTCATTTTGTCAAGGGGTCCAGTGGTATCAAGGGTCCATGAGCGATGATCGTCATATGACAGCCCACTTTCAGTCCGGATGCGGGATATGTCTTGGATCGGCTTGAAACCTGCAAACGATAGACCTTCTGCAGAGAGAAAACATGGCCAAAATCATTCGGCGTCACTCCAAGCTTTTTGACCTAGAGAAGTCCACAAAGGTCACGTAGGTACTCCAAATTTGAACAAGAACACTGAGCAGCACCTATACGTAGGTATGGCTTGTAACCCGCTCAGTAGAGCTAATTAGACCGCTCTAGGCCGCTGAAAATGACACCAAACATCTCACATTAGCCTGCAGATACTTTCCCACTTTCGATTTTAATCCGCGCCCCCCTGGGTGTGTATAACACGCCCCACGGGGGGGGGCTATTCATAGCCCCCCTCCTAACTCCGAAACTACTGAGCCGATCGTCAAAATTCAAAGGGCATCTGATAGCCCCGGAAAAACTGTCGAAGGAAACCTAATTTCAGTGACCTCGAGGTCACCGATGACGTCACAGGTCAGGTCAAAGTAAAAATTATCGAGATTTGGCTTGTTCACTTTTTTGGGCTCTGGCTGCCGTTTTACAAGTCAGATCAGGCTGATTGTTGGTTTACACACTCGTGAACAGATGCTTTAGCCCTAGAACGCCTGGGGGGGTTGTATCAACCCCCCTGAGGTTTTTTCGAAGTGCACGCTAAACGGCTTGTCGTAGCGGGCTGAAATTTTCAATACCCTCTGGCATGGGCGTAGGAACGGCAGGAACATTGTGGGTGCATGGGTGCAGAAATCCAGCCATGGCCGGTGAAGCGGGGGGGGGGGGGGGTAGGGAGCGACACCCGAGCGAAGGCTCGTTACGAGCTTTGAGGGTGTAGTGTGTACCATGTCGAAAAGGTGACCTGCATCGAAGCATTGACCCTCGCATGTGTAGGGGGGTCGGATGAACTCCCCCCCCCCCACATGGTTGTTCGCAAATAAATAACTCGCGCAAAAAGCGGCCGATCGCGGCGAAACTTTTATTACCCTCAAGTTGATCAGTTTTACACCTATGTACTCTGAAAATTTCATGACCCTGACCCAAAAGACTTTTGACCTGTGACCTGATTCTCGAGACCAAGTTCGGCCGGAATCGCAATTTGGCGTACGTCAGCTCTAGTGATGTCAATTACGGAAAATGGGAATACCGATACCAAATACCAACCAAAACCGTGGAGAAATACCGAAACCAAACCAACTTGGGAACATGAGGAAAATGCCAACTTTCTACCGATTTCTTAGCCTCTTAAACATTAGCGAGAGTTCATGATACCAACAAAATACCAAACACATTAGGATTGAAATACCAAATACCGAGTTGGAATTGGTTTGGTATCGGTATACCAAAAAGTTGGTATCCGATTGACATCTCTAGTCAGCTCACATTATCCGCGCGTTTCCAGTCTTTTTGTGATTGTAGACGTCCAAACATGTGAAATGATGTTCTTCCCATGCATCACGGTGGTTGTGAAGGTAACCTGAAGGTCAGGTCAGGTCATTGACCTTTGATGACCTCGGTTCACTTTTTCGAGTTTTGCATGTTTCTAGGGTAGTTTATAGGGCTGATTTCGAATTTAGCATCCATTTGAACGTTTACGAAGTAGTTTTAGTGCTTTCGTGACATGCTACGACGCCGTCAGCATGGTAGTTACCTACTAGTGGATAGCTGGTAGGACGCCTAATGGTTGACCTGACCTGACCTGACCCGACCTGGCCTAAATGCATGAATAAATCATCTGTGATCAAAACTAACATCAGATATTTGTGATCAGCACCCCGAAAAAGCCGATAACAGCTTCACTTTACGCAGTTCTAGCAGGTCCCGATTTTCCCGACTTTTGGGTCATTGACCTGTCCTGGAAGGTCAACCAATGAAGTAGGACCTTAAAATTGGGTATCGTCGGCTTTCTCTCGTCACGGGCAACACCCTCGTTTTTTTCCGCGAAGCTCTAGCTCGATCAGGGCGCCCGAACGGCAGGGGGGTCCGACCGACCTCCCTCCCCCCTCCCCCTACACATTAGAAGGTGGAAAACGCTGCACACATTCGAGGGCTAATATTGTCAATATTGACTACCGCAAAAAGTAAAAGCGGCCAGCTTAGCCATTTTCGAAGATATCGGGCTAAAATTTTTGACAGTGGGTCATCGGTTCGGTATGTGTTATCACATGCTCCATTTCCCTTTTTCAGCACAAATGTAAGTTTTGAAGACCATCACAGTAGCAAATGCTTCGAAAGATGGATAGTAGGCAACATACCCTGAATTTGCCGTGCTGCATGGGAAGTAGTGTTGATGAAAAAAGGGGTTTTTGGTTCAGATTATTGTGGGTGCAGAATACATTGTCTGCACCCACTGGATAAATATTGTGGGTGCAGCTGCACCCTTGCACCCATGGTTCCTACGCTTATGCCCTCTGGGGCAACCTTTGCGCATCTTTTGCCGAAAAAAAAATTGATCGGGTCATGTCAGGTCACGGAGTTATGACGTCATAAGAGGTACAGCCTCCGGCCGACAGTTACCAAACGTGTGCGCCGAATCCCTAGGTTTTCTGCCGGTGATACCCACATTGTTTGATGGATCATGATGAAACTTCCCATGCATGTTGGGGCAAGCATTGGCTATCGTGTGGTGCAAGAAAATTGACCGGGTCAGGTCAGGTCACGGAGCTATGACGTCACAAGAGGAACAGCGTCCGGTACTATTTTTGAAAAGCGCCCGAACCACTATTTTGCTAATTCTTGTTACCTCAATGGGAATATGCAGCAATATTAGCTTCTATAGGGAGCAAATGGACCTCCCAAATCCAAAGATACAATCAGATTTCAAAAATTTAAATTTTGATTTTTCGAATTTCTGCCGCCGACTGTGACCTTGCCGACTTCCGGCGCTCCCAACGCGTCATTTTTAGAGCTAGGGAAACGAAATACATACCAAACGATAGAGAATTGATCAAGGAACACGATAGTGAAGGTTTCAAAACGATATCTCCCACCGTTTTGCCGCAATCGCCGCGGAAAGTTGAAAAAGTTTGATTTTTTTTCGGAAAATTTGACATTTGACCGGTCATAAGTAGGTCAAATGTTGACCTAGGACCAAAAAATATACCACCAATCGCGAGATCTCGTTGAGAGCAATCCGTTGGTTTTTTCCGCTAAGCTCTACGACCTTCCGTTTCGAAACGCCAAGGGGGGGGGTCGTAACAACCCCCCTGGTCGTTCGTGTTATGAGAAATGGCCTGGTCGTGCGAGGGTTAGATACCCTGAGGGTACAAAACTTGCATTTTGATTTTCAGGTCAGGGTCAGGTCATCATAGGTCACGGAAATCTTATGTCATAAGTCGGTCACGTGACACATGTTTTATGGTCCATTTAGGCCATAGATTTCGAATTCGGTGTCACCTGTGTCATTTGAGGCCATTTTCATTTGAATATACATAGCTGAGGTCAGGTCACTTTCAGGTAAAAAAGGTTAAATTTCAAAGTTGAAATTTTTCAACCAAAAATGTCTATCGGATGTAGTTTGAGCTCAGGAACACGATGGTGCTATTTATATTGGTGTACGATGTCAAATTCATTTAGAAAAGTTGATTTGAAAAAATTAAAATTGTGAAATTTTTGCTATAATGCGTATAACTTGACCATTTCTTAAGATATGTGGCTAAAACTTGCTAGAGTAAGTGATAAGCATGCGTCCTATCATATGTGCTCCGTTTTTTTCGAAAGGTCATTTTTTTAAAGATAAAAATAAAAAATTTGAATTTTATATATAATTTTTTAAATTTTCAAAATTTTGAAAATTCGAGATTGCAGTTTGATAGTGCAATCCATTCTGAGTCCTGTAATGCAAATAAATTGGATCTAGCTTAAAAACTGAGCTCTTGGGAGTGATGCCCGTGGTTCAATGTTTTGCGTCGAAATCGGCCGAACATGACGTCACTCTGACGTCATTTTCGGCCGACCTATGATAGATACGAAATTCAAATTTTGACACAAGGTGTCCAATTGATGCAGCCGAAAGTACTGAAAGTTTGGTGGCGATATGTCAAGCGGTTTAGAAGTTATTGCAGAAAAATGGGAGGGGGGCTATGAATAGCCCCCCCCAGTGGGGCGCGGGTTAAATATGAATGTTTCGTAGTGAAGTTTTTATTTGAGGGTCATGTCAAGAAACGTCTAAACACATGTGGTACACAAAAAGCATGAACAAATAAAAGCACAAGAACCATGCAAGAAGTTTTTTTTTACATGATGCACGCTGGTATCTGACCTTCGATCTATGATCTCATCGGATCTATGATCCCACCGGATCCGGCGTGAAAAATTTATTCTGGATCTATGATCTCACAGGATCTGACGATAAACCAAGAACATGGATCTATGATCTGAGTGGATCCCACAATGCACAACATTTGAAACCAGGTTTCCATGTGCTTCTGTCAATAAGTGCCATTAACCTCTGGATTATGACGTGCTATCACATAAAATCACCAAATAAAAACGTTTGTGAGTTGCAACGAGTGACTGTTTGGGATTTCTGTATTGACAAGAAATAAATGAGGACCTATGATCTCACTGGATCTCAAGCAAAAATACTAGACTTGGATCTACATATGATCCCTACGGATCTCTCGATATATTAGAGCTGGATCTATGATCCCGACGGATCCGAGATCAGGATCCGTGTGATCAGATCCCAGATTCTTTTTCTCGGATCCATGCACATGTCTGCTCAGCTGTGAGTAAAATAAAGCCCTTTGGACTTGTCTTTATGGAAGAAATAAAACGTAAGATATTTTACAAAACGGCTCCAGCAAAACAAAAATATAATAAACTGGTAGAACGATTTCCCGAGTATCGGTATTTTTAGAAGCCTCAGATTTTTCATTTCGTAATGCTAGAGACGATTAGCATTTTGCCCCAAAGCCCTACTGCCTCCATGACCTGGCTCCGCCCCTGGCTGGCCCCGGCGGCGTGCACTGGTTGCAGCGGGGTGCACACAGGATGGTTATCCGTGTATCGAACGTCCCCCCCCCCCAGTGGGCAGGGGCGTCACTAGCAACGGTATTTCGTTCCTGGGCACCGCGGATCGAGCCAGGGTTACGGTACACAGTTATAGTGACGACTAGCCGACTAGGACACTGAAAATGGTGACATTACGGCTCAGGAAACGGCGATTCCTTATAAGGGATGCAAAGTGGATACGGTTGGGCTGCACTTAGCTTCGAAAAATGGATACTAGAGAATCAGGAATTGGGGACGATTGAGACTAAAATATCTCGGCGGATTGTGTTTGTTAACAAACAACGATTTTGGTTTTGTAAACGGGAATGGATGAGACGACGAAAAAGGGGAACTTGCGAATCGTCGATGCCTGACTTCAAAAGTAAGAATGTAGGAAATCTACGCCTAAAAGTGGAAAATAAGGCCTGCTGGGATGGGACGTGGAATGCAGCAAAAAACCGGAGCATCATGTCAATGCGCATGGTGTTTTGCCCATACCTTTCTGCTGAAGGTTTGATGAACCGTGCTGCAGTCTTCCGCCTTGGAAGGAAGATGCCACTACCTCATTACCCATTGATGCCGGATAGTACCAAACGCGTGTTTCTGTGTTCATGGATGTTCATCGATCGGTGTTTCAAGGCCGACGACAGGCTCCTTTCACAGCCTAGTTCATCGCTAGTTCATCGACCAAGTTTCATTTGATTCGAGACCGGTCAGAGCTTGGCCAATCACTATGACCACTGGTGGGGACTTCTATGAGCCATAACTTCCCTCTGAGTAAATAACAAGAATAACGGCCCTGTTATTGCCTCCCTTCTCGGTCCCCGCCCCTTTGGCCTCCCCCTCCTTGCCTGTAGCCTGCAGCGAGTGATTTCAGCTGCACCGCGTTACCGCGGCGACCCAGTCAGCTGATTATTAGTCTGGTGACGTCATTAGGGGTCAGTGGGTACGGGCTCAGGAAGCTGAACATGTTCTCCATCCATGAAAGCGTATATACTATGCAGCCATGACATTGCAACTTGACTTGCAACGGTTTGCCTCGATCGCGAGCGCTCGGATAGCCATAGCAAACTTGAAAAGCAGCGCTATATTTTGAGCTTTTTCGTTTACCATCGTATATCCATGTTCAAATGAAACGCCCCTCATACATATATTGGTATCCATTTCTAGCGATATCTAGATTTTATCGGTGCTGCCAGCCAAATGTCAGCAGGTTTACCCTTCATTTTCGGGTTTCATAGTTTATGTATGAGCTGTATCAATAAAATATCCGTTTTATGAATGCTGCAACTATAAATAAACGCAACAATGATCCTAAAAGCACTTCAAGCCGCTTGCATTTCTTTAACGAAAACGAACAGTTTGGTGGATGAGTTTCATTTTCATGTCTACCTTCCATTTATAGTCAACTCAGTATCACATGCATCTCTCCCTTAGCAGGAGATATATTAATTAGTTTAACCACATTCACTTCCACATAACTAAAACAGCTAGAAAACAAACTCTACACCACGCATTCCCAATACAACTGTATGCCCTTGCCCAATGCCCGATCCCTTGCCGTTCGCCAAAGCCAACGTCCGTCCCCTTCGCGAGCTCCAGATCGCGTGTTAGGGGCAAACCAGCCAAGCCTTTATCGTCTCGGCATCTATGCAGTTCGGAAATGAATCCGGCCTGAATCGGTGCCAGTGTCGAGGGATCGCGGGACGGGTGCTGCGACCATCGGATACGACGAGTCGTCTTTGTTGTTTGGGATGGTGGGTGTATTTCGGGGGTGATAAAATATGTGATGATACTCACTGAACGTTTTGGGCTATTTAGGTATATCGTAGGTCGTGCATATTGAATTAATTCGTATGTGATTGCTGGAAAAATTTCTCTCCAGATGCGCTGATTCAAAACATAGTAAGAGAGGGTCAGTTTCGTGCGTCAAACTTCCGATTAAAAAAAAAAACTTCCAATTTTATCATATCATTCATTAAAAACATACAAATGCAGATTCTTAAAATTTTAATGTTCATTTTGCCCAAAAGACATCGCCAGATATACCTATCAGTACCTATAAACAAGTATATAGAGAAATCAAATAGAATTATGAACCAAGTGGCAAAAGATCAATGCGATTTTCAGCAGTCGCGCTATAGCAAATATAAATCTCGGATTAAAATTACATTAACGTTTTCGTCCTTGGAATAGGGCTGAAGAATAACTACTTAAGTTTATAGTTATACCGTGCCAATTATTGATTTATGGCATTATCGGTTATCATTTTGCTCTAACCATTGAATGTCTAAGTAGCAGCGCTACCGGAATCGTTTCCAGCCAGATCTTTATTTAAGAACATCGGCATTCGCCATGCACGCAAGTTTGCCCGAATCGCTGCCCGATAGACGCCTGATGCGCGCAGCCTGGACTGATAGGCTAGCCCGCCGGGCGCCCGAGCGTTGCGGGACAGCCTACCGCCCAGTTTTTTCGACATCATGCATCACATGGTTTTTCACCACGGCGGTTTATTTTCGAACTGCACGAGATAGCCACATCATTATCAAACACGTAGGGTAACTGTGGGGAAAACGCACCCCTGGGCTAAACGCCTCCCCTAAAAAATCGTATTTCTTATCGACGGATAGGTGTTTTATCCTGTCTGTCAGAACAGCCAGCTGCTTGTTTACGTAGGTCTCTATTTCCGGTTCTGCGTCTTGAGGAGCAGCGTGGGTAGGTGCTGATGTTGGTTTTGGGTGTGGTTTTTGTTGTTTTTACAGAAGATTCCTAATATTTTGATGCCCTCTTTACATCACAAAACTTGCTATTGTGCACATCACTCAAAACTGCGTTTTATTGTCATTCTGTTGAATGTATTATGCTGCGGCGTTAGTGGCGCGTTTTTTGTCAATATTTTGTTGACCGGAAATGGAGTGGATGGGGCAAGACGCCTACTCGATGCATGGGGCAAGACGCCCCCAGTTTTCTGAAAGGGGGCGTTTTGCACGGTGGTGAGAGTGCAGGGTAGCGCCCTGTAAGTCGGGGCCGAAAAGGCCTCTCCCTGTCCTTTTTTGCTGATATATCCTAAACGACTGCAGATATCGTCACCAAACTTTCAGGACTCCTCTGGGCATCCATTTTACACATTGCAACAAAATTTTATTCCAAAGGCTATGGTAGGTTGACCACAAATGACGTCAGAATGACGTCAAGTTCTGCCATGTTCATCATTTTCTGTTGATGGATGGGGTGGGGGCGCTTTGCACATGGGTGTGGGCGTATTACCCAGGGTATGGGGCAAAACGCCCTTTTGTAAGGGTATGCGAAAACCTTTTTGGGGGGTTAAATACCACACGCAGGTGTCTTTTCTTGGTCTCAAAGCGTAGTAAAAAGAATGAGCTACATGATGGTGCCCAAAGGTTTAAGTAATCTGTGTTGGGTTGAGTGTCAGAAGGTTTCGCGCTTAAGGGGGGCGTTTTTGACCTATTCACCCTACGTTGTGAGATCGCGAATACAGAAATATTTATGTATTGGAAGCCAAACTGAAAAAGCTGACATATTGGCAATGCATGTACCTTTAAATAGGCGAATTAGTGTTTGAGGAAACGAAACCCAATCTTCAAAATGCAACTTTTTTATAAGACGACCGTTTTGAATTCCGCTAACCAAGTCCTCCATCGCTTCATATCTCACATTGTCTCCCATGTTTACCTGTTTCCATTTTTGTCCGGTAGGTGGCAGTGCGGGTTCGTCCCTTGGCGCCGGCCGAGAGAGCGAGGGGACGAGTGGCAGAGGCCTCGGATGACAAGGTAAGAACTGAAAATGCGACTAGAAGGCATTGGCTAAAGGTTTTCAAAGGTATGCTTGAAAATGTTATTGTTTAGCTGGGACATGGTTGAATGCTGAGAGAGATAACTGGAAGTATGGTTATCTTTATCAGCGTTTTCAAATGGTTTCCTTCACGCTCTTAGTTTGTTATGCATAAGAGGTTTTATAATACATATTTTTATATTTTTGTCAGCAATCGTATATCGTTTTTTTTCCAAATTCATTCGTAACGAATCGTTCATAAATATCGGCGAAGAAAGTCTGTTTGAAACCCTAAATCATATGCTCGTTGTGCCACCCGAATGATATCTTTTTGTGCGTGTGGTAACGATGGATTTGCTGTTACAACAATCGTTTCCTAGTGCAGAAAATCAAAGTACCTAGATTGTTGGTGCTTGCTGCTTAGCAAAAAAGCTTTACATGATATGAAGCGGTAATGAATCACCTTTCATCAGCATTTCATGTATCGCACTTGCTGGACCAGGCAACGAAGTAAACTGACCACCTTAATGAGCACATATTTCAGATGTTTCAGAAACGGCAACAGCAACCATTGCTACGGCGCAGCAATTTTACGGAGCGATTTGCCCGCAGGAGGCCGTTGACCAAATACCAAAATTAATAAAAGTAATATACCTACCAAACTGTGCGCAGTTAAGTTCCATGTACTGCCTAAACAAAGGCAGCTCGCGCCATGCTGTGAGGAGTTCGCCGCTTCCGATGGCACATTGTTTCGCCAACTGCGCCATTTTTGTCCGCAGATGGTAACGCTACAGGAGAACGACGGAGACAAAAATGACGTCTTGCGGCAAAAGAGGCGCCACGAGAAGCACTTTGTTTATGACTTGGCTTTCGGAGAGGATTCGTCACAGGTGCGAAACTGGGTGTCAGCGCTTGTTCTGGCTTGTTCGTTCAGTGTTTTTTTGCTATCCAGCGTGACGTGGTGAATTATTCCACTCGTTGAGTACTGATTTATACTGATTTATACTCGTGTCTTGAAAACATCTACGTGCGATAATTATGCAAAAACGACGATTAATCTTTTGAGTATCATGTTCCCGGTGTCTGAATCTCTGCATGCTGTTCCGGTAGGTTAATTATTCGGTGCACCATTGCATCGTTGACATACATTTTTTATTCAGCTTGTATCATCGGCCTTTCACTCTGCAACAGTGACATAATCACATCAATTATCCATGAAAAGCTGTAGGAAAGACTGAGACTTGTTTTCCAGAAACAACTGTACGAAAAGACGACCAAGCCGCTGATCGGCGACGTTCTTCAGGGATTTAACGCCACAGTTTTCGCCTACGGGCCGACAGGTAAGCCGAAAGGAAATTAGAAAGAAGCTGATACTATTCATTTGTGGCATACCAACATTTTTTTTTCAATATACTTTTGTACAAAATATGTATTTGTATTTGTATATGGAAGGAAGCATAATATAGATTTCCCGTTCGCGCCTACGCTACTTTGACAGGACGTCGATTGCCGAATACTCAAGAAGAGAAACAATCTCCAAATTTCGTCCCACACATTACGAATGGAAAACTCACTAATTTTACTGCCACTTCCCCGTTTTATCAGGTGCCGGTAAAACGTACACGATGGTCGGAACCGTGGAACAGCCGGGGATCATGGTCAGGGCCATGAACGACCTCTTCAAGTACATGGCCGAAAAGAAGGACGAACTCGAGTTCAAGGTACGGAATCGGATGAGCATGAAATGAAATGAGAATGTCAATGCGTTTCGAATGTCTACATGACAAAATAAAAGGAAGAAATGTAAAAGGCACTTGACACAAAACATCTGGCGATTGTGAAAGCACTTTTCCATGGCACAGTTTATTTACGGGTCTGGGCATTTTGTTGAAGCTTTTGCCGAGTTCCAGGCTGTTACAGACAGACAAACTGCGAAAATTAACCCTCGCGGGCCCCGGGGGGGGGGGCGTTTTTCGCCCCCCCCCCTGGCGAATATTTGCGATAGCTCCCGAACGCTTAGGGATAGGAAAGCGAAACTTTCAGTACCTTTTCTCCCATCAATTTGAAATCTTCTGAAGCAAAAAATTTGGACCTAGCCCCCTTGATGACGTCACAAGGTCCATTTTGCTAGACCTCTGCACGGGAAACTTCGGCGTCACAGACGCAAACTTCAAATAGCTGCTAAAAATAGAGTTTTGGAGATAAAGACAAATTACGAGCACGGCTGTGTAGCGTTTGACATAGAGAAAAATAGAAAAATAGTTTTGATGATATGAGGTCAGAGGTCAGGTCAACGACCCCGAAATGTGGTTTTAGTTTTTCGCAAATAACTTCGACAAAAATGGTCCTAGAGCTTCGGCAGTGGTACCATCGCATTCGCCTTGTCAAGCCGCGTCGAATGATATATATTTTGTTCGGAAAAGGTCAAGTTTTAGGTTGACCTCATGTGACCTCGAATGACCTCTGGTTGACCTTGACACATGAAAGGTCGTTTCTGATGGATTTGTACCCGCTGATCACGAATCTGGCATCTATTTTCCTCTAAGCCTTCATTTAGAGCTTCCGGATGGCAAAATTGTCTTACTTATTATTACTAACTTGAATTAGTGAAATAGCCTCTAGCAGGGATACTCTTCAGTGACCTTGACCTTTGAGCAGCCTTGTATCGTAAGATGAACCACAAATAGGGAACTGATAAGCCTTCAAAGCATTTCAAAACATCTTGGAAGTTAGCACGCAAGATGTGCGAAAAAGTGCCAAGTTTGAGGTCAATTTTGAGCGTGACCTTGACCTTGACCTTTGATTTTGAGCACATTTTCGAAGTCCTCAGATTCTCTTCTTTCGTTTGACACCCAATTTTGCCGGTTTGATGCAGCCTGCCGTCCTCTAGAAGGCTTACTTTGAGATCACTACACATGTACCGGTTTTTGCCTTTGACCTTGACCTCTGACCTTGAAAATTGACCTGAGGTCAAAAATTTTAGGTGCTTTAGAATCGTCTCGTAAGGACCTTTCGTTTGGTATCGCTTTTGTTTCCGTAGCTCCCTTATTTACGGAGTTAGACAGGGGGGGGGGGCGAAAAACGCCCCCCCCCCCGGGCTGCGGTGGTTGGGATTACCCCCCGGGCCCGGCCGGGTTAATGGAGTTCTCGATCGTTTATGCACTTCCGGTCACGCATCAAACAACCAGTTTTATACATACTTGATATTTGCTCTACTATGCCGAGTAATCATGAATGCCCTTTACAGATGAGTCTCAGCTACCTCGAGATTTACAACGAGAACATCCGCGACCTTCTGAAGCCGAGCAGCGGCACGCTCGAGTTGCGCGAGGACGCTAAGAAGGGCACCATCGAGGTGGCCGGTCTCTCAGAGGTCTCCACCATGAACACGAAGGAGGTGAGTCGGCTGCGCAAATCAGCTAGTGACGTCAGATATAAGGTGAATGTGACTTGATTTGGGACGCTGGTTGGTTGTCGCATATTTGTATCGTATGACGTTTTGTTAAAGAGGCTTGTTTTCTCCCAAAATAAAGAGGAGATATCTATTTGTCAACAAACTTCTTAGGGGAAGCGTTCCAGCACTGATTAAGAAAAAAATGTTGTGATTTCCGCAAACAATAATTATGGATTTTGGCGTTACAGCCAGCAAGATTGACACCTTGATTTGTTGTACTGCAATTCACTGCGGCCGCAATTAGGTTCATTAAAACCGCACACAAATTGCAGCAGGAACCAATCACCTGCACGATTCCATTACGATTTAACAACCGGACTGTCTTGTGAACAGGTGATGAAGCTATTGACCAAAGGCAACAAGGAGAGAACTATGGAATCCACGGCAGCCAACAGTACGTCTTCTCGCAGTCACGCACTTCTCATGGTGAGCTCAACTTCCGTACTGGCGTACGTTATACTGCCGTGAAATCGCGTAGGTGGCAGGTGCATACCTGCGATTAGGTGACTTGCAGATTGCAGAGTAGATTCCTTATATGCCATAAAATGACGAAATGCAGTAGCCCATGCGTACATTGTTCAAACCTTAAATTAACCTAATCCGGTAACTTTACATCGTCCCAATGAGAAGTCATAATTTTACGTGAGCGTTTTTCATCATGTATTACGGTATCTCAAATAAAGTGACTATCAGCGAATATGCCAGCGAAAGACATGTGAACATGCCTCCCTCATGCCTTGCTTTAACCGCTTCCTTGAACTTGTGCCTCCATAAAGCACAGTTTACCGAAATCTACCCCCATTTTCTAAATGTGTTCCACAAAGAACTACAACAGACTATATTTAACTTTACAAGAACCTGCTAGGTCGAATGACTCCTTTGTTCCCTTAGAACACTCTCGTTTCTGCTAAGTGTTACATTCCATAAGACTTTATTCCCTTGGTCATATACTACTGTATTACTGATATAGAATAGTCTATGCGTGGGTAAATCCCTGTTCCCCCATCAAAAATTGTCTACGTGGCCAATGATTGTCCCGTTAGCAGTTCCTTGTTCCTCTGGTTGAGGTTTGACCCATGGCAAAGCCCTTCCTTGGGTAAAGTCCTGTTTCGCGACTGAAGCGCGTTTCACCCCGGCCGCTTTCCACAGGTGACCGTTCGCCAGCAGTCCCGAGTTCGCGACATCCACGAATCGGTCAAGGTCGGACGACTCTACATGATTGACCTGGCTGGGTCAGAGCGGGCAAAACGCACAAAGGTACGTCGTGAGCTCGCCGGGAAAATATCTCCAGGGGGTCTATGACACTGGTAGGTCGTTAAATCACCGGAAAACATCTTGAGAGGTGGCAAAATGAACAAAGGCATGTCGAAAAATCACTGGGAAACATCGCTAGAAGTGGCAAAACGCGCACAGTTAGGAAACTACTAAGACGACTGAGCAGCCGCGCATGCTTAAACACTAATCAGACTTCACTTATACAAATTAAGTCTTACTTTACCACGAAATCTTTCCATCAAATGTCTACGAACCGCTCAATTTGCATAAAGTAGTCGGCACAATGCCATTGAGGCGTAACGATCATGCATCATTTAGGCTTGCCAGCCATAAAAAACCTCCTGACAGTCCTTTTGCACGTTAAAAGCGATCACCCACGTAGGTTCTTAGCTCAGACAAACCATGCATTATTATGCTGACTATGCTCTCAAAGAAGGGTGAATGCTTCTCAGCCCGAATGACATTCCGTATTCACATTTTTGTTGTCGGGCATCGCTAGGCCGCCAACGTAGTGTGTTGAGGGTTATTGATCCTGTGAATGGTGCCCCGTAACAACGCTTTGTGATCGTGGGTATAAAGGTCGTACATAAATCTTTTCAGTGGGTGGCTGTTGATATATTTGCACAATATCACTGAATGAGCGCAAACAAATCCTGATAAATGCCCCTGGTTCTTATTTCAATCGGTGTTGGGTTGGGTTGGTTTAGCAGTTGTATTTTGCTCCCGAAAGAAATTAAAACTTTGTGCATTGACAGACGGGTGATTAGGTAATGGTACTGTGAAAATAACAGCATTGATTGGGTCCACTTTAACTACGAACCGTTGCATACAAGCCTTCCAATCGGGCAATGCACTAAGGCCCCAGCGTTCAATATAAGTGACTACCTTACGTAGTCAAGGTCGTACGTAAGGAGTGCACAAAATTTATTTTTGGTGCAGTAGGTTGATCAACATCTGTCATCAAAGTCTAATTAATGTGTCTCAGCCGGCTTCCGGAAAATGTAGTTCGTCGTCTACGTTCTTTTTTGTATCCACCATTCACTCCAGTCAAGCACCTAACGGCTGCTTACAAACCGTTTCTGTGCCTCAGAACCAAGGTAAGCGCCTTCAGGAGGGTGCGCACATCAACCGCTCGCTGCTCGCCCTGGGCAACTGCATCAACGCGCTGGCGGTGAAGGGAGCCAAGTATGTCAACTACCGCGACTCCAAGCTGACCAGGTGAGATTGTCGGTGGCTGAACATACTCAAATGGATCGTGAAAATCATGCTGACTTGAGCTGATGATGCTTTGTTTTTGTAGCTGATTCTTCTTCTTCTACTATCCTTCTCTTATTCTTTTCGTGGAAGCTCTTTATCCGTCTCTCTCTCTCTCTCTCTCTCTCTCTCTCTCTCTCTCTCTCTCTCTCTCTCTCTCTCTCTCGCTCGCTCGCTCGCTCGCTCGCTCGCTCGCTCTCTCTGGTTCACTTTTTTCTCTTCAGCTCCCTTTCTCTTCCCTCTTTCTTTTTGGTCTTTGTATCTATCTCCTACCTCGGCCTCGGACCTCGGTATTTGTCTCAGTCTCTCTGTCTTTGCCTTTTCTTTCCTTTTTCCTTCCCTCTCTCTCCCTCTCATCTCCACACTGACCCGGAGTCCACTCCGCTCTTTGTTCTCAGACTTCTGAAGGACGCTCTCTCCGGCAACTGCCGAACAGTTATGATCGCGCACATCAGCCCCGCCATGGCACAGAGGGAGGAAACGTTCAACACACTGGTCTACGCGGACCGTGCCAAAAATATCACAAATAAGGTCGGAGCTGGCTTAGGTTATAGGTGAAGGCGTCTATGTGCGGATAAACGATTTCTATCGATCTGTCCCTCACTCTCCGCTCATTAAAGATTTAAAAACCTTGTAAGGCCATTTTACATCAACAACAACAGCAACAAAAAAAAGGTATAGAAATAACGCACTATTCTCAAGGAATTATACATAAATCTTTTCTATGCAGCAAAAAGAAATGTATTCAATGATTGAGAAATTATAAAAGTAACTTTAACTATAATTGAAAGTGATAATAACCTTACCTATGTCACTTGCACTGATTTCGACCGATGCGAGATTTGACAAGTTTCGTCTCACTCCCAGGTCAAGAGAAACGTTTTAGATGTGACACACCAAGTGTCTCAGTACCAGTCCATCATCGCCGAGCTGAAAAACGAAATCAGTCGACTCAAGAGCAAGATGAGCTCAGACGATCAGGTAATATGATTATTTTAAACATAACCATCACTGCCCAGACCCTTCCTTGCGAATAGATAGCTCGAAATTGATAGATTGATCGTGATTCTGAATAAGTTAGTTACATGTTGTATGGAACTAGACTATGGTGATTTTCACTGTATGTGTTAGTCAAGAAACTGACGATTTTCAATAACGATGAGGTCTGGGAACTAGCAAACAAAAAAGGTAATCAAATCGATACATAAACAAATACGCCCATCTATATGATGAAATTTCGATTGATAATAGCAAGGCACCGCATTGCTGCATTGTGGTAACTGATAAGATGTTAACTGCCCAATTATAATGTGAGAACTCGATCAAATATCAGCTAACGAGTTACGTTCACTACTCTGGTTGGCAGCACGACAGGGAGCCCGACATGACGTCACAGCCTCGCAGTAGGGAACAGGAAGAGGAGCTACGGAAGCTACGAAATGAGCTGATGGAGTCCTTCAGGGAGCAGATGGAGCTCAGGTAAATTGGACGTGGGGAATATGTATTGGATTACTGTGCAAGGTACAAGAGAAGATCAGTGAAATTTGGATGTTAGTCTTTTAGTGAAGATTGTGGTTGTGGAAGCTTTCTAAGGCTGTAACAGATAAAAAATAGACCGCCGATGCAATGATTCGCTTTTGTAAGAAATTGCTGTCGTTGACAAAAATATCAGTTCAATCTGTTCTTTTTTCACGGTTGCATTTGGAATTGGAGCCAGAAAATCGGTACTGTATTTCTAACATTAGACATCTTGAATGAATCTAGAGAATTACGTTTAAATATCATAAGTCTAAGTCGTAACATCCCACTTTTTCTTTCAGAAAGCAAATGATGGAAATTGATAACGTGCTGCTCTGGCTGGCGATGGAGTTTGAGAAGCAGACCAACTTTATCAACGAGGTGGAGCGTAAACGAGCCATCAACGGAGTCACGCAGCCAGGTAAATATAAAAAATACGAGAGGAACACCAGTGATGTAACCTCGCGCTATCAGCGTGCATAATGATCAAACAAATGATAAGAGACTGTCTGGGTGACGGAATGACACAATTAGGCGAGTCAGGGTCAAATGGGTGGACACAGTCAGGTCGCGGTATATATTAACCATCTATTCCGTGGTCAGGTGATTAGCCCGGGGTATCGAGCTCGGATGGGAGGACTCTACCGTAACCTCATTTCAAATTGGTGCCTCCATATAATGGGGAATCGACTAATGAGACTTGAGTAGCGGGCTGTGAGAATCAATACTAACATCTAATCAGATCATTGTTTTCAAGTAATATTAGCTCGCTTTGAGGTTATCATTGATAAAATGCACACGCGAAACCGTCGCTGTCAAATTGCTGTAAGGCCTCACATAGTTTGGTATTCAGGTGCTCACTGCTATCAACTGACAATGCCAACACAGTTACAGTCAATTCATACATATCGCCCAGCCAGTAGCTTACTCTCAAGAACCCTTTGTAAAACAGTTCGGCAATGGTTTCCCACCTTAAAGATATTTGTTTGTTTTTTATTCAGATGAGGATGACGAAGACCTGAACAACGCCATGGACGACCTGCGCTACGTACAGCAGGAGGAACACAGGCGAGTTTATGCGGGAATAGCTAGCGATGTTTTCATTGAGGAATGACACCATTTGCAGTCATACGCCTTCGTTGAAAATACAAGGGCGAATAAGCTAATGTATTAGTATTCGATGCTATATAGTTCTGCTTTTCTATCAATCTCTAAAAAATAACAGCTGATAGTCCTGACTCTTGAAGCTGTGGCTCTCATATATCGCATATCAAATGTCGTTTTGTATTTACCCTTTTCTTTGTCTCAAATAGTCGCTAAGTAACCGAATACCCATATACAATGTGCGCTGAAGGGGTAACCCGAAATCACTAACGTATGATGCGCAATAACGAAATAGCACAGGCACACTGCTGCAGGTAACGAAAAGCGTAGGCGTCAGGTGTTTTACCTGGTCCGTTCAACAGTAGCCAGTGCTGCAAACAGTCCACCAAAATTGCTCTTCACTGCATACTCGCGTGCTTTGCTTCCGTTTGTTTGAGTTACCGCCCCGTAATTACTATGTAAGTACACCCCGAAATCGTGGCAGGGAATTCATGGTTTGAAGAGTCTAGCGAAGACGGTGTCCGACGGAGCTTTGTAGGCAAATGACAAAGGGGTGAAATTCGTTTCAGGTACCAAGACATCAGGAAAAACTGTGAAGCAGATCTGATCGAGGTCAAAGAAACGGCAAAAAAGTTAGAGGAGGTGAGTGATTGCTGGAAGTCGCTTCATTTTACACGGGATAAATAAGCTGTCGATGGTAGTAATTCATGAGCTATTTATTGTGATTTATTAGAAGAAAAGTCTATCAACAACTCGTCGCTGATACGATTCTCATTTTACAACAGTAATTGATCGACTAACTAAGCAGGGGAAATCAAACAATTAACTTATTTTTCCTATCCATCACAATTCTCACACTCCATAACAGGTGCTTACGTATACACCACTACCCGCCTCTCCGTCCGAATACAAAAACACACGCCCAAATTAGCTAGTCTCACCACCAACAACATTTCCAAGAACTTTGCTTACAATCTGCCATTCATCCTCCATTTGAATCCGCTCCGTGAAAGTATACCTTCCAAAGTGCATCGTTGTGCGGACGTTGGCAGTTGCAATTCGACGGTTCACCTTCAGGCACTGGCTGGCTTTATCGATTAAAACGGACCGGGAGTTGACTGCAGGGTCTCCACAACACAGCTGGGCAGTGTGGGCTGGGGAGGGTAGAGGGTGGGAAAATGGGTTGAGAGCGCAGGATAGCGGATGGACGTAGACAATAAAGAAATGACAGAGGGAAGAAAAAGTGGAAAGAGAAACAGGTGTCCGAAAGAGGAAACTTATAAGTCTTAATGTTGAGCAAAAGGAGAATGACAGGGAAAGATAGATGTGTGAAAGGCGAACAATGAAACATGAACAGAGAAACAATCGAAAGGAACAAAAAGAGGAGCGAGATTAGTGAGCATACGTATATGACATATATAAAAGCAGGCAAAATTGAAAGCAAGATATGATGATTGAGAAACTGTGAAAGAAAGAGAGATGACAAGAAATTAAAAGTAATGACCAGCTGTCAAACTGAGGAGTGTGGGCAGAATAATGGGAAAAAATGGCACAGATAACTGTAAAGTCGTTGTTTTTATCAAATGCAACTTGTGATTGTTATTACCACGTTTCGAACATTATTCAAAGTAACTGTTTTATTGTGACTTGCCGGTTCCGATTATTGCCTCCAAACCTTGTTAGCTGAACTTCATTTGATCGAACGATGTAATGTCGAGCGGAGCATTCATTGACGTTGAACGCTTGGATCTAGAAAACTTATAGAAACCTGTTGTGTACAGAAACCTGACCGTTCCTCTAGATAATATTGCACGGTGTCCATAAACACAATAATATATTAAACAAAGTTTGATAAGTAATGAAAACTTACATAAGTCCACAAAACACGAAAAGGCCAGGGTAGGCAATTTCATTCGTACATTTACAACCTGCAGCGAAATGCAGCTAGTTCAACAGTCCATAACTATGCTTCTTCGCTTTCGCCCTTGGAGGTCTATGGACAACATAGGTACCTGCATTTGGTGAAAAAGGGCCAAAGTATTGCTTCTATTTGGAGAGAGCATAAAAGTCAGGTTGTGTGAGCTCGTCAAGGAACTATTTCGTTTTCTTTCTTACAGCTCTGAAGAACGTTCGTCGTTTGATGATATCGCCAGCAATGATGTTTGAGGCACATATTTAAATGAAAGGTTCAACCAGTTCCGTCTTGTCAATTAGCGATAGCGACGAACTTTGCCAGTGAGCAATTAAACCAATCCAGCAACGTGCCATATCAGCCTATCATGACAGCGAGCATAACCCATTCCACCATTCTGCAATCTGCACCCCGCCGTCACCATAGCCAAAACGACATGCTTAACCATAATTCACCCACAAATCCAGCCAACTGCAGTCGATACCAGCACGACACTTGGTTGCCTAACAACTGACCTTCATTCCAAATATCGACCTCACTCGCCACCCGTCGGAAACCAGTGCACTGCCGCATGCACGATTATTGGCAGTGTGCAAGCGCGGGGTCAGGGTTCAAGGTCAATTTGAGCAGAGCTGAACCATTCGTTTCCAAGCAATGTGAATGATAACTCGGTCTGCTACGAAGAGGGTTCATTTTTTTACAGTTAAAATGCAAATTCCTAAGTGCATGTTATACACTGTAAACCAAATTGACAAGTCTTGTGTAATATAACCAATCATCTCTTGGTATGTTTACCAACTGATACTTTTCAAACAAGCCGTTGTCTGGTGCATTGCTTGTCAGATGACAACTACGAGTCAATAGTTACTATGCACACCAACTTCTCAGTATCCAGACCAACTCTACATTTGTTTCAACGTTTGTTTCTTAACCCGCTTTGGAAACTTGTTGCCGCATGGTTATTTAACCGGCGCCTAACTTGTACTGGTCAGCTGGTCAGCATACACATGGTCAGCTGCGCCCGTGACGTCAGACTTGGCGGACCAATCAGCGGTCGCCGTCCGGCCCCGGCGCGGCGGTTTCAAACCGTTCAAACCAGCAGTTGTCGCGCGGCCGCCGTGCAGCATGGATCAGCGACGAGGGCTGTTCCAGCATTTGTGCAGTAAAAAGTGAAATCTGTGAACTGTGGTGTTCGTGCTGTGAGTGAGGCCCGCTCTGGCCTGCGGGACGCACTAATCGTGCCTATACCCGCGGTCGAGACGCCTCCCTTCCCCTGCGCGCGCAATGTAAGTGGGCCAGACCTTTGCATGCACATGTGAGCAGATGTTTTGCGGTCGGTGTTTTTTATATATAAATACATTTATTTGCCTTTAATTCAACTCTTTGTATTTTTAACTTAAAGGAAATAGTTCACTTTTTAACATGGGTTTTGAACTGGAATAGCAGTTCCGTAGCCTGGGCTGAGACGAGCATAAATCAGGAGCTTTTACAGCCCAACGATCACCCTAGGCAAAGATATTCTATTTCTCGTCCCGAAAAAGGTGTCTTGCGTTGAGGATGTGTGCCTTGCATATATTCGCATCCAGTATGAAAAGAGCATGGGTACCGAAAATTCTTCAGAAACTAGAGAAATTATCTACGAGAACTCTAGAGAAATTCTCGTACTGATCAATAAGGACATTCAGCAGCAGCAGATCGCCCAAATGCCGGTGGCCGCGATAATTTCTCTAGTTTCTGAAGAATTTTCGGGACCCATGCTCTTTTCATACTGGATCGCCTGTGCCTTACAGAAACTGAAAAGTTCTTCCTATATCAAAATATAGAAAATAATCTTTTGTTATAAATAGGTTTTATTTTCTTTGCTGATCATTTTGAACATAAAAAATCATAAATCCATTGCAAAAAAATAATTTCGTGAAAGTGAACTATTTCCTTTAACTGATGGACATATATGGGCTGTAAAAGCTAATCTGGTTGGCGATCATGCTTTATTCGAATTATCTGCGTGATCGTGCAACTGCCATGATTGTTATGGTCAATGTGGAAATATTCGTCATAGTGGCATGTTATACTTCTGGCTTGATGCGATGCACAAAACCATGTTCTTCCACATACGCAGCAGTTCTTGCTTCAAAGACTTATATGCTGACGGTGCACGATAGGTATACCTTATACCTCATGCATTTACTACATCCATTCGAAAATATGCACTTGGAATTGTCTCCAGTCAATAGTATTAATTACATACTACGTGATGTAGGTACGTGACCGTAATAAATACTAATGATTCCAGAAACTTCCGAATGGATGTGGTGTATGCATTCATCGATTATATAACCCATCAGTATTTCGTTTCTTGTCAGCGCAAGCCTTTGAGCAATAACTGATGCCAGTCATGATTTTGTGCACCACTTCCAGCCAAAAAATGACCTGTCCGTATAGAAAATATTTCCTGAATCAGTATCGTGGCAATTGAAAACGAACGCGAATCGTAAGTTCTTAAGGTTATCAACGCAAACAAAGCGATTGTAAGGAAGAACAAGTTCGAACTGAGCGTTAGTACACTTACGTGTTGACAATTTGTAAACTAGCAATGCCCAGTCAAAGGCTAGTTCATCAACAAACCAGGGGTTGTTGAACCGACAAGGAAACGGCTATGCCTATCCAGAAGTTGGTAGGTTCACAAGGCCCAGACTAGTACTCAACAAGGTGACGCCTATGCGAATTGGAACCAAACTTGTAGACAAACTGTTAGTTTGTTGGCCAACACACCTGGGGTTGGTGAATCGACAAGGTGACGCCTATGCGAATTGGAACCAAACTTGTAGACAAACTGTTAGTTTGTTGGCCAACAAGCCTGGGGCTGGTGAATCGACAAGGTGACGCCTATGCGAATTGGAACCAAACTTGTAGACAAACTGTTAGTTTGTTAGCCAACAAGCCTGGGGCTGGTGAATCGACAAGGTGACGCCTATGCGAATTGGAACCAAACTTGTAACAAGGAGCCAACTTGTAGATTTGGTTTACAGTGTACTTATGCGCTGATGAGGCGTAATCAAGCGTATAATAATTGGTTATGCATTTTGTTGTTGTTTCAGACTCTTCCGGATAAGATTTCAACAGATGAGCAGCGTGAACTCCTCCAGCTGCTGCTCAAAACTCATGAGCTGGAGATAGAAAATGTAAGTAGAACGTGGTTTACGGTTGATCGGTGATCTGCCTTTGCTACTGGTAACCAAAAACACAGCCACTACATTTTTTAACAACCATGACGGTGTCATAAAATTCATAAGCACCCATGTTCCTGCAGTTTGGAAGAATCCAAAAGTAATCAGTTACGGTTTTCTTATGCCTTCCAGTTATCGCCTTTCATGAACGAAGCCACATTATTATTCACGGTCTTGCACGGAACAGAGCACCGTAGTCCGTAATACATGCACATACAAAGGTTCATTTCGAGTCCATTGACTGCGTGGATCCATGAAAACGGAGACGGTTTGAAAACCGTTTCATCGTGTTCAATCAATATTCGAGTGATACTGATTGATTTCGGCCTTAAATTAGGGCGGGCTCGACACGAACCACGTGGCTTCGCAGAACACGCGGCAAACTGAACACGCGTCGTGCGTAAATGGAAATGCAGTTCGTGTTTGCTGAAGGGAACATGTTAGAAGATACGATCGACTTTGGACGTGATGTGTCATTGGCTAATAAAGTTAATAGAATCTAATGCCGTTAACAAACTCTTCAGGTAACTCTGATTCGGGTAAGCGTAGGTTATTGTAACGTTACTTTGATTGTCATTTACCGAGCCTTTTTGGATCATGGTGAATCAAATGAGTCTTCTGCAATTGAAAACCGGACCGCTACTACATACATACTCGAACAAATCCCTATGCCTAATTCTATAAAAATCGAGCCCCTCGTCTTGCGTCATTTCAGATCGAGATGCGCAGCAACCAGCTGCTGAAGGACCACGAACTGCGTCGGAGGGACCTGATGATACTGCGCTTCGACCGACAGCGGGCTCTATGTGATGAGATCATCAGCAGACAGCGTGACGTCATACAAGGTTAGTGGGGTTTAACGGTGACGTCCTATAATGTCAATGGAGACCAATGTATGTGACGGCATACAGGTCCAGTTGAATTTGTCAAGAGTCGGTTTAAGTTTTATGAACGAGTTGAGCTCAGTTAATTCTTCGTCGTGAGTGTTAGCTCTCAGTAATCTCCGATTTTGCATCAAATAAGTTATGCCAAGTTATGTGGCTAATCGTACCGAGCTTCACGCAAAGTTTTGAACACTTCAACCTGCGTCTCACACCTTTACTCCATGGACCATGACGCATCTCTCTCTCTCTCTCTCTCTCTCTCTCTCTCTCTCTCTCTCTCTCTCTCTCTCTCTCTCTCTCTCTCTCTCTCTCTCTCTCTCTCTCTCTCTCTCTCTGTCTCTGTCTCTGTCTCTCTCTCTCTCTCTCTCTCTCTCTCTCTCTCTCTCTCTCTCTCTCTCTCTCTCCCTCCCCTCTCACTCCCCCCTCTCTCTCTCCTCTCCCAGACATGGAATCGGGTAAGACCGGTAAGAGCCGCTCCGGCAGTGGCGACATGCCTCCAGAGCTGCAGAAGATGTATGAACTTTACACACAGGAGGTCAACAGTCCCAGTGGCCAGCGCGACGCCCGATTCCTGCACGGACTCAACGAGGTCATGAGGGTAGGTCGAACATAATGGGGAGGGATACCAATGGGAAGGAAAATAAAAGTAAAAACAGCGAGCTTTACGTTTGTGTCACCTATTTTTTTTATTCGATGTCCATGCATACTATGATTATATCAATCATCATTGTATGCACAAGTTTCCTTTAACTGTGGCAATATTTTTTTCCTATTTGTGACCAATAAATGATTCCTTTTCCAATGACATGCAGGAAATATCTTGAACCGGTGAATAAGGCTATTCTAAATAAGGATATTTTTGAATATAGAGGAATTAAGTAATATTTGTTATGTTTTTCCACGCATAAGTCAACGAAGTGCATAGTACTTACCTGTCGCAGTCATGCCACTAACCATATTTGTGTCGTTCGGTTCGTTTCAGTCTTCTTCGTCCCTGTCCATGCGAAGCTCTGTGGACGAGAAGGGTCGACTTCCTCCAATAAATGGGTGCGTCTAAGGGGGTATTACAACTTGAAGCACATAATTGTCACCCGGGATGGGATGACATAAGTCCAGCATATGGCACACTAATAAAGTTCTTAAAATTGTCACTGTCAATTGGGCGATAAGAATTATGCATTTAGTTCCCTTGGAAATCACGCACAAGTATCATTGCATTAAAAAAAATAGACGGATTTTTCACATGCTAGCATTTATCATCTCCAGCAAAGCTTTAAGAAATTATTGCTATTGTCTCCTGCCTAGCAACCGAAGAACATACCTGACATGAGCGCTCAACTGAGTTATTAATTGCCGCGCCGGAAGCAATTACACAACAATACGATAAAACACATTTGCAACTAGAAATGAACGACCCGGTCTTGGCTGGCCGTATGTGATAGTTGCCAGCCCACTCATTCCCAGCCACCTCAGCTCGGTGTGTTTCTGAGGCAGTCCAGGGCCACGGCCCATTTCAGAGCCAATGACGTCATAAGACAACCGTTCAATAGTTCACTGAGCCGTGACATTTGGCTGCGCACTGACGTCTGTGGCGTCATGGACGTGCTGTGGGAAATCGTTGCTGGGAATTCTCGTGGTTTGAAACTTATGACGCTGTTAGTTGCGCTGAGTAGCTGCAATAACTGGTGGATGCCTGGTGCCACACAACTCACTGTGACTGCAACAGTGGGGACAAATGGAATGCATTTGCCTACAAACCTGTGCCAGTTGGGCATGTTGGGCACGATATTTGCCATGCCAGTTGTGCAAAATTATGCACGTCGTCTCATGCCAGTTGGACATGAGACGACGTACATACATAATTTTGGCCTAGTATTCCCCAGACCCCTACTATTATGAA